CAGCGTTTGCAGTTCAGGTTTAAAGTAGAGGTGGGATGCTGTTACTTTATAGGCTGATCACACAGAAACTTCAGTCACTCTGAAGAGAAAATGTGCTTTTTGAAATTACATTTATCTCAAGTTTTCTTAAAGATTGAGGACACTGTTTTACAACATTAAGGCTCTAAAACTGCCCTGCATTTGATGTCCTTGAACATGATACTGAATCCCTACCAGCTAAAGTACTGAGTCAGTAGGGATTCTGTATCATGTGGTTCAATAACATGACCTACAAATGAAGGCAAGCTTTTGGTTTTGCAAATATAAAAACAAGAGAACTGCATTCTATTCTATAGCAGTGTGGTTGGCCATAACACTGGTCTGCCAATGTTGCACTTGAAATAAAGAATAGCTTTACTAAAACCTTACACTGTCATTAGTTTCCAACAACTCCCTAGTTGCAATTGTAATTAAAAAGAGGCTATCTCTTTCATAGGCCAAGTCAGGAAGATTAAAACCGGCTACTAAAACAGCTTTATCCATAACATAATGTTAATTTTTAGTTTAGCATAGCTGTTGTAGCGCTTATTTTTATTCGTAATCATTCTCTTCCAGGCTAAAAGCTTAGTACTTACATGGCTATTTTCTTAAACCATTTCTACTTTTATTTTGAAAGCAAAAAAGCTTAAAACGGAAACGGATCGACAGAAAATGGTCTTCGTGTTTTCAGTCGTCAGCACCAAATGACATTTAACATAATGATATTGTGGATCGTTTTTTAAAAAAAAAAAAAAAAGCGGTTTCTGTGGACTCAGAGTTAGCTCTAACCCATGTGTTTCTGGGGAAAAACAGTAGTGAAACTGCAATATCACCCACATCATTTATTGATAACACATGCGCACTGCGCACAGCATAGACCCTAAAATAGCCATGCAGCCCTCGATAAAAGTCTAAAAGAAACGCTCTTTAAGGTGAAGCGTTGGTTAAATCACAGCTTAAAGCTTAAATGTAGTCTCACTTTAACACAAGTGATCATTCCTCCTGGCTATTAGGTGACAAAGCCATTATGTAAAAAGTTCATCCTACCTCTGATCGAAAATGATGCGTTCGCAGGCCAACTATAAGACAGATAACAGATGTTACAAAAAAGATGTTAGGATGTAAAACATTGCAATGACTGCAGCTCGGCTAAGAGATATGCATTTGGTCAGAAGTAATAACAAGTTTAAGATGCTTCAGGTTACTTTACGCACAGCATCACCTCTGAGTCTCACAGCCCGAACAGGCGTTAACAGTGATGACTCTGCTTTTATATACAAAAGATAAACATAATCAGACTATGAACGATTACACGTATCTCTAATGTCTGTAGGCTACATGAATATATGTACCCTGAGCTGTCAGGAGGAGAAGATGCGGCTGGCCTGTACGCTACTCACCGCGGTTCTTGGGGCGTCCAGAGAGCACAGATTTTATTGGATGCTTTCCATTACGAAGCCTGCGATGCCAGCAGCAGAAAAACAAAATTGTCGCAATAGTCCCCAGCAAAAGCAACAACAACAGCAGCACACATTGAATACTGTACGGCCTTAGTAGGACCAAAAACGCTGCAGCGATCATCATAAGACGAGATATAGGGCAGATCTGGCAGCCTCAGACAGCCGGCTCCTCCGCTGCCGTTATGTCGCTGATAACTCGGCAAGAGAATAAAGACACTCACTGACATACGTGAAGCATCGCACAGTAAACCGTGGAGAGCGCACAGGTCCAGAAAGGACAGCCCAGACTATTGATATCATTATTGTGGGGTACAATGCATGACTCAGCAGAGACGCCACTTTAAATTATTTATTTATTTTTTAACAGGGGCAGGGAGAGTCAGCAGATTCATCCCAGCATCACTCTGCTGCAGAGGGGGCTGCCCACACGAATAACGCTGCAATAGTAAATGACACTAATCCGTGTAGACCCGTGGATGTACTGCACTAGTAGGGTGGATATATATTTCTTTAATATTTTTAAATGTGATCTAGAGTGTCATCGCCACTGTATACACATACAGCATGTTTTTGGCCGGAAATGAAATATCGTTTGTATTTTGTAGAGCAGGTCTACCCAGTATGGTTTTAAAATGTATGATAGGTGCTGAGATGAGGCAGGTCCTATGCACAGATACTTTGAGGATTAGAGCGAGCAGAAACTCTGATCATAAGCCAACACGGGTTATGTAATTTTGGGGTGAGATGACATCATCTCTCCTTCTGCTAAATGAAAGACTCAGACAAGCAAAGTGTGGCAGGAGAAAAACACGTGTTTATACAACACCGCACATTGTGGGCGTAGGTATGTAAATTACGACTATTCTATTTAAATTCTTAGACTAGTAAATAAATAGTTTTCCACCTACGTATAACAACATATGTATAGTTGTATGTGTCACTCATACATTTACCAACTTACAAATATAATCATCCCAATAGTTAGACATAAAAATCGACATTTTATTTTTCAAATAAAAGAATTAGTTCTCATTATCCATCAGGTCATCTTTGATGTTTAAGAGTACAGCTTTCAGTATTATTGAATTAAACTGTGTTACAAAATGTCAGCTTTATAAGTTATTGTAAAAGCTGTGTACTTACAAACTGCAACTGATGCCCTAGATTGCACAAGGCTATACTAAAATGTCTGAAGGTGTTATCATTTGTCATAAAAAAGCAACAACAACAACAAAACACAACCTACAGACCTTCTTTCACCTTGTTTGAATCCTGGTTATGTCTGTGTGCTTGGCTTTAACTTTCTAACTACATGGCCTGCTATAAATATCACTGCATATTGCCATAAATGCAGTGATATCATATTGCCTGTGTCAAATATGTAACATATGAGTTTTAATAAATAGAAGAGAACAGAACAGAATGAAACCCATATCCCAAAAAGTAAGATGCTGTATAAAATGTAGATAAAAACAGATTGTAACTGAATTTTTTAGTCACAATAGAACATTATAAAAAATCAAATCTTTCAACTAAGACATTTTACTATTTCATGAAAAAAAACAACATTATTATTATTGATGTCATCAGCACATCTAGAAACAGTCAGGATTTGGGCAACTAAAGCCTGGAGGTGGTGCTAAAAAGAAACAGCTGGAGTAGCATGTTGCAAGGGACTAGGCTCAGTGCCAACAGGTCAAAACAGAGTGTTTCAGAAGTAAAGATGGCTATAGGTTCACCAGTCGGCAAAAAACGAGGTTAAAAAATGTGGAACAGTTTCAGAATGACGTTCCTCAGTGTAGAATTGTGAAGACCTTGAATATTTCATTGTCTACAGTGCATAACATCATCAACAGAAAATCAAAATTGGGTGCCTGCGATATTTGAGCCCTCAAACAGCGCTGCATTACGAACCTGATGATCCTGCTATGGAAATCACTGCATGTGTTTTGAACAGAGTTCACAGTACCATCCACAAATGCAAGTTAAAGCTTAGGCATGCAAACAAGAAAACCTTATGTGAACATGATCCAGAAATGCTGCTGTCTGATCTGGGACAAAGCTCCCTTAAAATTGACTCTTTTAAAGTACAAAACTGTTCTGTGGTTGCACATCTGGAAGGCCACAATCAATGTTGTAAGGTGTGCATATTTCAACAAGGTGACACTAAACTCTATACTTTCACCAACTGACAACATTTGACACATCACAAAATAACATAAAACAAAGAAGACCCAGGAATGTGGAGCAACTACAATCCTATATAAGAAAAGAATTGGAAAAGATTCCTCTCCCAAAAGTCCAACAATTGGACTCATTAGAGAACCTAAACGTTTACAGACTCCTTTTAAAAGAAGAGGGCATGCTACACAGCAGTAAACATGGCCCTATCCCCCACCCTTTTGAGATGTGTTATACTTTTTTTATTGTGAATAAAATATTTGTTTATGAGATTTGCAAATCAATGCATGATGAAACTGGAATTACAGAATAGAGTAGATGTGTATTCTGCATTCAACAACGTGGTAGAGAAGGGCGCAGATGAGCACCATGTAATGCTGCTATTTACATATGTGTTTGGTGTTTATGTATATGAAGGTGTACAATTCATCTCTCCACTAAACGATGTTAAATATGATACATAAATATGAATCTAGGTAAAGTTGGCGCCTCTGGCGGGGATAACTAGAATATTAAAATAGTTGTAGTTGGTAACATCATCGCGCTTCGACCCGGATTAGATAAGAGTGCAGAGGCGGACTTTGTTCTCTCGTGTATTTTGTAGCAAGCCCAAGCTCCGTCCACGCGGCGCACACTCTGCGAACAAAAAAACCGCACCCGCGTCCGCATGACGTCATGACGTCCGGACTAGCTGCGTTTACGTTTATTTGGGATGTTGTAGCAGTGAGCTACCAATCTGACAGAGTGAGCAACACAGGCACAGGTAATGCGATGCTTATCTTAATTTAAACCATGAGTCTCAGTTATGCCGCATTTGATCGGTTTTACCGGACGTTAGCCCCTCGTGTCGTGTAGCACCTTGTGGGAATGGGGGTTTTAGTTTCAGAAACACTTCCAGTAATACCCTACGAAGCGGACATTAGTTAAGCGGTGTGAAAACGCCAAAACTGCAAACACTCGTTTACAGTTTTTAATTTTTTTAAAATCTAACATTACACAACATAATATTATCTTGCATATCTCACACAGTGAGTGTTTGGGACCCATGAGTTATTTCTTTCAGAGTGGAGATATCACTGCTAATAATAGTCTTCACCAGAGTATGGTTGGTAGAACAATCCCCCAGCAGAAGATGAGTGAATTCTCGGTGACATGTAGGGCTTTTTAACTTCGATCATTTCAATGTGTGTAAAAATCGCTTTGATTTACATACTATGATCATCGAACTTCATGCAGCCCGTGAACGCACCACCATAGTGTAGTGGCGCGTAACTTCTTCTTCGTTCCACTTTTGAAGTGCTGTTTAGAAGCTCGCAGCTCACTCCTGCCGCCGCTGGTTAACAGGTATACTGCAACAACACTGATTTAAGTCGTTGAATAGTTGCTGTAGAGCAGCTCCCACATGAGAGGCAGCACCGAAGAGAAGTACTAAATGAGGTGGCGAAACGAGGAAGAAACTATGCCCCCATGTTGAATTTCTACACGGGTGACCCTCGTTAAAGCAAGTCGTATTTTCCTACTTTTAAAAGGCTTGACAACGACAAGAAGTTTTCAAAAAAAGGTGCATGCTAATATTCGTTTGCTCAACGTCTCGCATATTTGCTACGAGACCTAAGCTATCCAGCTGCTACTGTTTCCTTTGCCTAACTGTCTGTGTTGTTCAGGCTTAGCTTAAACGTAACTGTTAAGCTAATTGCACCAAAAGAGGTAATTATAATTGTTACTGTGTTGTCCGAAGAACTGTCGCTTAGCTTTATAAGCACGTACTCCAGCTTGAAAACGTGTGTTATCTTCCCGTTACCTTTAGGAACATGTCCTCCACAGTTGACGCAGATGAAGATGAGGTGGAAAAAGAAGTCGAGTTTGTATCAGTAAGTCATATGCACTCTGGCTCTATTAAATAAATATTAGTTGAAAATGATAACATTTTGGTTTTCAAACTAGTGGCATTGTTCACTGTCACGTCAATGAAGCCTAATAAACAGACGGCTATTTTTTCTCTCAATTCACTGATGTCTCATACTGTCCAGGTCCTTATGATTTGGACTTTAGATGTGTTTTATAAGCCTGAAATAGTGTTGATGTTTTTCTTTCTTTTTCTTTTTTTAATGCAGGAGGGCCCTCTCAGACCAGTATTGGAATGTATTGACCTGTTGAGTGACAGTGAGGATGAGGGATGTTCATCATTGCCCAATACAGTAAGTTTTTTTTTAAACAGATCATTTGGTTATTTAATCCTTTTAATTCATATGTTAATATCCTTTTTTTCTTAAAAACACATTATTTCTTTCAATTGTAGCTTGAAGATAAAATCAGCCGACATAAAGCACGTGTTACATCTACCCTGGACAGACTGGCACACCAAGTGGCTGTACAGAAAAAGGAACGAGCAGATAAATGCAGAGCATTCAAGGTAAGGTTGTTGACAAATAAACTGAGCCACTGTCATTTGTTGTTTGTTGGACTTTCATTAATCATTTAGCCTGTCAGAAAATTGATTCTGTTTTCACTGTTTCCATTCAGATCTGTACCTTTTTTTTATGCACAGCAGGAAAGAAAAGATGCATTGCCTTATGCTTTATGTGAACTGTTGTAAAATAAATTTTACTATGAATTTTAAATTGCTAACACATACATGTGCTCATTAACATATTCACAAAGAACATGAAATTTAAACTCAACTTTAGATCCTCACCAAGATTTTACTGGGTTAGTGTATGGGTAGATTAAGCCCAGCTTTATGAGCAGCAGTGCCCCCCTGTGGGCACAAAAAATGGGGAAGGTAGTCTATTCATAACATGCAACATTACTTGGAGAACCAACATTAAACAGTCAGCTGGTTTTCACTGATGTGTTGTTTTGTTTGTTTGTTTTGTTTTGTGTTTTCTATGTGAGGCAAATATCTTACGTGTTACGTCTTTGTCCCTTTTTCAGGAGAAGCAGATCCTACAAAAAGCTCATGGACAACAGGAGCTGGCTGTTAGCGCTGTAAATGGGATTAATCAGGAAGCCAAACGTTGTGTAGACATGTGGTTAAAGATGCCAGGTAATTATTGATCGGAATTAGAAATCTGTTGTAGTTGTTTTACTCAAATAAGTAGAACGACTTTTAAAACATTTTCCTGTTACGTAGTTGCTGTTTGTTTTTGTCTTTTTGGTTTGTTTTTTACATTTCTATCAGTATGCTAATTGCCTCTGCCAAGGAGGTCATGTTTTTGGTAGTGTTTGCATGTGTACATGTTATTCTGTCTATCTGTAAACACAATGGCTTGAAATGTTTTGAATGAATTCTAAACAAACCTTCTAGTGGTGTAGAGTGGCTTGCATCCACCGGGGTCAAATCAATGATTTATTGGTGCAATTTTCTGTTATAGTTGTCAGTGGAGTGGCTTGTGGGACTTAACATACTGCAATATTGTGTTTATCTAGGTCTTAAACCTGGAGCGATCAGTGCTGGTTCCGAGGGAAGACAAAGAGCTTCTTTCCACAGAACTATCTCAACTAGGCATACTTGTCCAGTAATTAACTGTGGTCGAGTTTATGATAATGCTTCCCTCCTTGATGGACACTTGAAAAGGTAATAATTCTTCATTCGTGAGTGTGTTGGTACAGCGGCTTAACTGTTTTCCTCACAAAAAATGGTTGTCTCTTGCACATGTATTGAGTAAAAGCTCTTGTATGCAGGTTTGATCACTCCCCATGTGACCCGACTATCAATCTTAAAGGAAGTCCATCAGAGTTTTTTGCCTGTGTTGCATGTGGAAAGAATTTTCAGGCCAAAGAATCCTGGAGGAACCACGTTAAGTCGAAGGTCTGTGCACTTTTCTGACTGTGCAATTAGAAGTTGCAGCCTGAATCCCTGCATGGTGTAATAATTCAGAACTGTTTTGGTTACTAGGTGTCCTCGTCTAATGCCGATGGTCATAGCATCAACCAGATGTATCAGCGAATTGTGTGTTTTGCATGTCCTGCCTGCTACAACCTCTTCAACCTCAGAGACGAGTGTCTCCAGCACATGTCAGCCGAAAGCCACTTCAAAGACTCGCTCGCCTTAAGAGGTAATTTTTTTCTTTTTTTTTCTTTTTTTCCTCTAATAAATAAAATCATTACTTAAAAACAGCATTTTATATTTACTCAGGTTACCTTTGTTTGTGTGGTTCTAGAAGATCTTAGATACTGGAAAGTAGCTAAATGAGCCAATTTGCATTTTATTTTACATTTGATTTTAAAAAACCCACAGGAAGTCCGCTGCCAGTCCCTGTCCCTCAACATGTCAAGAATCGTCTCATCGCCTTGTGCAAAGATGTAGCGTTCAGTGTCCGCTGCTCTTTGTGTCATAACGTACTGATCTCCCATCAAGCAGCTCAAGCTCACTTTAAGTATGTTTTGTTTTTGTTTTGTTTTTTTACAACATTTGAATGTAGTGAAACCTCTTTATATATATTTCACTGATTGTATTCAGATCCTTTATGAAACTCATTTTTATGGCCCTTGTCCCTCATTTTCCTCTTTTTAGTGTGTACTGCAGACAGGGCTGTGCTGTGGCCAAAGCTGACAAGACGATAGTGCAGGTCATGAATCAGCTGCAAGTGCGAGGACAGTGTTCTGTCTGCTGTGAAATCTTCCTCAGCCAAGCTGAAATTGAGAGACACAGGGAGTCGATGCAGCATGAAGTTGAACTCAACCAAACAATGGCAAAAGCACTTCTTCAGCACTGCAGGTTTAGTGAAATTCAACACTTGAAGAGAGCTAGAGACTCAACAGACACAGAGGAGACCACTGGCCTTGCAACACCTCTCAAAAGAAACAGGAAGAGCGACGACCATGACAGATTTCCAGCTAAACAGCAGAGCTTGGGGACAAGTGTGACTGTTACCAGTAGCGGGAGCGTAACAGCTTGGTGTTGCGAGTGCGGTCTTCAGTTCTCAGACGAGGCTGGAGCCAGTAAGCACCTTCTGGCTGTGAACCAAATTTTCCATCAGTGTGGCGTGTGTGGCAAACATATGGGGGAGTCTTCCATTGCACGTCTGCATATGAGTCGCTTTCACGGGGGCGCTCATCTCTCAAACTTCCTCTTCTACTGCCGCAAGTGCAAAGTGGAAATGCCTCGGTACGAAGACATCCTGTCACACGTGTCCGGAGCTCACAGCGGACACACGTATTTCAGTGAACAAGAAGTGCCTGAGCAGCTTCCCATAATCGTTGATGTCAAGCCATCCACTAGCAGTGACGTCACATTTCACTCCTCGTCTGTGGCCAAAGTCCAGCTGAGCACAGAGGTGTCTTCATCAAAAGTAGAGCAGTCTTGGATGTGCAGGATGTGCGAGGATGTCTTTGACTCGGAGGCTGCCGTCCGTAAACACTGCAGCGATGTTAGTAGTCACAGCTTTCAGAGATTCGTCTGCGGACACTGTCCACAGAAGTTCTTCAAAGAGTCCACCGTACGGAGACACTGTATGAATGAGCATGATGGGCTTGTAAAAACTTCCTATTTCTGCGGCCTCTGCGACAGCATGGAGTTTGGATCTGAGGAGGAGTTTTTTGAGCACTACAAGAATCTTCACAGTAAGGACTACTACTGCATGGATGAGGTTGAAGTTGTTCAGCCAGATGCCACTGATGCTGCTGCTGCCGCTGAGAGGACCAGTCAGTTTACATGCCCGTGCATGGGTTCGGAAAAAAGTAAAGAGGACATGAAAGCCACTTACACACAATGCATGAGGAATCTGGCTGCGGAAGAAAAATGCCAGTACATCTGTGTGCCTTGCGATGTATCTGTTCCATCCTATGCACAGATCAAGACTCATGTCCACACAAAACACACAGCCTTGAACCTGGACAGGAGCTTTGACATCAGATGCAAAGACTGCCAAGAGAGTTTTATGGATGTACCGAGTTTCCATAAACACTACCACTTGCAACATTGTACACTGGATCCCTGCATGAGTTCCAGGACCTGCAGGAAAAGCTCAAAAGCCGAACCTACCACTCCAATAATACCTAATGCTGCGGAGATCAAACCAGACAGCAATGGTAAATCTGTTAAAATGATTCACATTTAATGTCTTGTTTTTGGATGTTAATTTGTATTCATGTTCGCAGAGATTGACGACGAAACGCTGACATTTTTGAACATTGATCACACCAATGACGAGAGTGAAGTGCAGGAAGGTAGGCAGTAAACTATACATATATATCACTGATATACAGATGAGGCCAGAATTATTAGTCCCCCTATGAATTTTTATTTTTATTTTTTTTAAAAAGTGCTGTTAAACAGAGGAAAGAATTTTAATCACAGCTTTTCAAAAAATCTTAGATTTTTATTGGTTACATTATTTTTATTTTGCACACAGGAACCAAATTATTTACACAAACTACCAGATAAGTCATCCTGATGCTAATAGGTGGTGTATCCTTTTTGCTGGATAACAGCCTGCAATAGTTTTTTGTAGTTTTCAACAAGTCTCACACACATCGCCTGAGCAATCCCTGTCCATTCCTCTTTGCCGAGTCTCTCAAATGCGTTCAGATTTGATGGGCTCCTGGCATAGTCCTTGGTCTTCTGTTTACCCCACATCAAGTCAGGTCTTTGAGCAGTCCAGCCAGTAATGCTGACTTTGGTCTTCTGGAGGTAGTTCTTCACCAGGAGTGACTTATTGTTTATGTTGTCATGTTGAAAGACAAAGTGACTGCTCAGACCCAATTTTCCTGGTTTTCTTTAAAAATTTTCTCATATCTTTTTTTCCTTCAGGATTTCTTTGACTTTGACAAAGGTGTTTTTCACATGATAACTCAAACTCTTTTTGAGGTTCTTATGCTTTCTTTAAATTGGAAGATGAACCCACAGCTTTAACCCCTGGTAGAACCTCAAAATCCCATCCTTTCGTGAACCTCGGGACCAAAAATGGTCCCGCCCCAAAAGTGCTCTAAAAATGTTATATATCAATATTTTTTTCTACTTTAAATTAGTCAATCTTTTAAAACTACTTCTGCTTAAAATATCCATGTCAAGTTTTAATTATATTTTCATTGTTTTAACCCTTTAAATCCCAGTTTTATTACATGAGCGCCCTGTTTTTTTAGCCCCAAAAAACAAAAAACTTGAATATTTTCCAAAAAAAACATTTGAGGTAATATTCAATTGTTATTATAATTAGGCCTTTAGATGGACTAAAGATTGGCACCAAGAGTCATTTCGATCGCCTTTTATTTTTTTTCCAGGAGCGCATTTCATAAAATGCACACTATCGACCACGCCCAAAAAGTGCAATAAAAATATTAAATATTAATTTTTTTTTTCACTTTAAATTGGTCAGTCTTTTAAAACTACTTCTCCCTGAAATATTCATGTCAAGTTTTAATTACATTTCGCGGATTTTAACCCTTTATATCCCGGTTTCGTCACATGAGCGCACTGCTTTTTTGCCCCAAAAACATAAAACATAAAACATCAAATGTTTTTTTGGAAAATATTTTAAGTAATATTTTATTGTTATTATAATTAGGCCTTTAGATGGACAAAAGATTGGCACGAACATTAATTTCGATCCGGTTTTAATTTTTTTTCCAGAAGCCAAAAATGTCCCCAGGCGGCGCTGCTGCTCCTGCTCCCCCGGGGAGGAGTGCCTCTGCCGCGGGTGTGTTTCGCGCAGCGCCGGAGCATATGGTTCGGTTCCCGTGTCTGCAGCACACACTTCCGCTACCACGTGAAAACAAATACGTCATTTCCTGTTGATTAAAAAAAAAAAAAAAAAAATCAAACGAACCTAAGGGTAGAAAATGGTCCGGAACGAGCAGCGGGGCAGGCTGCTGTGGTACGCGGGAAATTAGTGTGCCTTTTCCGGGTATCTGTCTCGAGCAGGCCGCTGGAGAACATGTGTATGTTCCAGCAGGCGTCACATGTGGAGCAAGGGCGCCACCCGGTGGACAAATAAAAAAATTACAACTCTAAGGCCTGTAGTCCAAATCGAAACCTAAGCTGGAAACCTGGCGATCGATTTGACCTTAATTTTTCTGGCGTGAAAAATAGCGTTTATAATGGGTTTCAATGGGGCACAAATCGGCCACGAGGTTCGATAGTGGATGTATGCCTTTTATTCAGCCATTTAAGCTCATTTAAAAAACTCCGACTGAAATTTCAAAATAAAATGGGAAAAAAATACATGTTAGAAAATTTGGCTATACTCCATTAAACACAGTGGAAATGGCGTGGAATTAAAAAACGCAAAGGCCACGAAATGGTCCCAGGTTCTGATTTTAAAAGCTTTGAGCATTACAAAAATAAAGCACATCATTGCACAGTGGTGGTTTTTGTTATAGCTAAATAAAAAGGCCAGTTTTCTCAGGGAGCAAATATTATTGACCCTGGTTAAAAAAAAAAAAAAAAAAAAAAATTCTGAAACAATTCTGTTATTGTGTGCAAATAGAAATAATTTATGCTTCCTAAAGAAAACTAGTGTGTTTAGTAATCCTATATTGAAAATCCTTAGCTCTATTAAAAAAGTACTAGAGCAAGTTTGAAATGGACAAAATTTTTTAATTTAATTTATTTTATTTTAATAGGGGACTAATAATTTTGTTGTCACCTGTAACTAGAAAGAAAAGACTGGATACTAAATAAACGCTACTTCTTTTTTTCTCTCTTTTCGTCATGAGACCCTAACGGCTGTCTGTTTAAAGAGAATTCTTGCTTTAGCTCAACTGCTAATAATTATTTGCATAATTAATCCTATGAATGTCCTCTCAAACAAAAACACACTGATTTACTTGTCTTAAAGTATCCTCATTAATCTTGATTTTTAACAGCTTGGATAAACGACTCTGTATTCTGTTACAGTTGAATCGGATGATGAAATGAAACGCGCGCTGTCTTTGAGCGCAGAAGAAGGACAAGAGTCAGCAGGTATGTGTGTGCAGGGCTGAGGATATAGTCTCTTTCTCTTTTGAACAGTTTGTAAGTCAGTACAATACGACATATTGTATTTTTTTGTTATTGTATTCAGTTAAACATCCAGTAAGTTATACAGTCGGTGATTGTTAACATTGCCCTGCACATTAAGGAATGAAAATGTCAATGGATAACATGCAGGCTTAAAAAATATTTGAACAGTTGGTTCAGTGAGGTTTATTCCCAGCCTTCTGGGAGAGTTTTTTTGTTCTTTTATTAGATAGGAACAGACAGGAAATATGGGAGATGCAGTGTGATGTGCACTCGCAGTCTGGCTGGCCAGGAATCGAACCGTGACTCACTGCTTGGAGGAATTTGAACACATTTAACAAACATCGAGATAAAGAATGTGTTTGATCAAAAGGATGAAAGAGAAACTCGACTGTAGTTTTGTGTACTAAAATGATGTCAGGCTTACATTTGAGAAAGCAGGAACCTGCTGCTTAAATCGGAAAGTAATGTGATGAATTACATCTGTGTAAACAGGTTCTTCAGAAATTCATAAATTCCCTTCCTACTGGGGACAAACAGTAAAAGACTGTGATGTGAGCTCAAGCATAGGAGGACACGTTCATCCGACCATCTCAATCTTCAATCCTCCATGGTTATGAAATATTTTCAGAAAGATGAAGAGAGAAGTCAGTCCTCGGAACAAAAGGCACTCAGAAAGGCCACCATCAGATTACAAAAAATGCTTAGAAACGCCACAGAGGAGTGCTTTGAGCAGGATTACAGACACAGCTCATTTCAAAGACAAAGTGTGGGTAGAGGGGAGTGGAAACTATCCAGCTCACAGACTGGGACAGCTAGGCTTAAATTTACAAATAACACGCACAGAAAGTCTGCAGCTTTTGAAGGTGTTATTTTCAGACAAGTCCAAATTTAGCATTCATGCTGATCTCTTGAATGGAGTAAGAAACTCCAATCAGTGTCCAGATTTTAGATTTCATCAAAATATGAAATCTAAAACAAAGCAGCTGCCTACTGAAAGAATATTTTTCCCAGGAGAAGATTTTTAGAACGATGTCGGCACGGAGTGAGAGTCAATCTTTATGGCACCTGTGAGACGTCATGAAGAGGGGGGCGGGGAGTGTGGATGACCTAAAGGCTCTGCTGGCTCAAAGACGAAGGAAACATTTTGGGGATCACTATAAATAGATTTGGAGATATGAAAGAATAGAAATGTTAAAGTTATGACATTGTGGTCAACATAAAATGTTCTCAGTGTTGTTGAAATGATGCAGTTTGTAGTGTTTTCCATATGGCCATGCTGGTATGAATGAAGGTTTTCTCGTGTAATTTGTTTTCACAGAGTTGGAAGAAGCTCTCAAAAGAAGCCTCCTGGAGTTCTGAGAAAGCCAGTAGTGCTTTTGTAACATGCTGTTCATCGAACGTTATACTAGAATGTTTTGTACAAGGTAACGTGTTCAGAATATAATAAAGAATTAAATGTTTGTCCTGTTTCTTACTTTTTCTGCGTTTTTCATTATTTGCAGTAAGTGGACACCAAACTGAACCTTGCAGATTTGCAATTTTGTAAGCTTGATACTTGTGAGGAGCCAGAGTGTTTCGACACGTGTGCTATAGATGGCATCCACCACACTGCAAGATGCCTGAGCTGAACATGTGACCACAGTGCTGTGTCTCCAGTTGCGCTCTGTTTTCCAGTGTATTGTATGTCACAGACTCTTCGCATGGTGTCATGTGAATCCTGATCCTTCTACGCTAGAATGTTAGATTATTTTTCTTAAGGAAAAAGCTTTTGCAATACCCAGAAGTCTGCAATATAAATTCACATAATTGTTGTGCTCCAGAAATGTGTTAATTTGGTGCACACACTTAAGAGTGCACTCGAGTAAAACTCGTATACCCAGCAATTAATGTTCCCAAGGGGCCCACATTACAAACTGGGACTACCGCAGTACCAGTTTCTCATGTGGGCTCTTGGATAAAATTAACAGCTCATCCCTGCATACACTGATCTGGGTAGCCAATTCCTTTTCATGGATTAACACTGAAAATATGAATTCAGAATTATTATATTGTACTCAACTGCAATATATCCGTCAAAGTTTCCATTCCCTTGGCTGTTACAAGCCAGATATCTGATTTTGGGCAAGTTGGCTAAAGAGCAAACGCTTTGAAGATGGTTGACTATGAGGTAAGTCTTGGGTGTTGTGCACTGACACAGTACAAGTTAATTAGCACTGGGCTCCTGGTTGTAGAATTTGGCAGCTCCAGGCTAACTGCAGTGCCAGAGGTGAAGATGCCTTTGTTGGTGAGTAAAAACTCCTCATGTAATGTAAGGAATTTACAATATAGTATAATTTTTTTTAATATATATATTTTATAGTACTTTAGTCATTGACATAAATCACTGTCAGAGTTAAAAGGTTTTGGTGGTGGATTCAGCAAAGTCTATTAACTAGTTTTGTTGAACAAAAAATAGTGACTGTTATCCTATTAATTTAAATCCTAGCTCGTTTTTCTGTGGGCCGGACGGCCGTTTCCGGGGTCCTTCAGGGGGTCCTCGGACCCTCGTTTTGAGAGCATAGTTCTGGGCTCCTCGGGAAGCTTCTATGAGGAGTGAGTGAAGGAAGTCACAGCCCATGTTTGGAAATGTTCTCCCAGGGGCGCTGCAGCAGCAGCCGGTGGAGCTACAGTCAGCTGGACAGCTCGGAGTTGACCGCACACGGGATTTGTTTTTACTACGGAACGGATCAGCCTTGTGACGGGTGTTCATCATCATGGCTCAGGCAAAAATACAGGCGAAGATGAACGAGGCTACCTGTAGCAAGTTCAGCAGGACGCTATCCATGGCAGATCGCTCGGGGCGGCTGCTGGAAAGTTTGGACCAGCTGGAAATGAGGTAGTTAAGTAACGGGCCTTAGCATGAGCCACCTATTCAAGCATTGTCGTTTGTGGGATATATATGACTGCTCACATTTTCTATAACAAGTTATTACAGCGCTTAAAATGTGCCATAAAAGTAGCTTTAATTTCTTAGCGGTTTTCCGAGAACAGTTAATGATCACATGTTTTATAGGTGGGTTGCTTTAGGTTCGTAGCTCACAGCCTCATAATCATTACTCTCGCAGTTTAAGGATGCTTTTCAATGGACGGTTATTGTCATGCTTTGTTGTTTCCAACAGGGTGGAGTCTTTACGCGAAGCGGCATCGGCCATGGAGCAGGAAAGGGAGTGCATCCTGGAAATGATTCAATCTCTACAGAACAGTCAAGAAATGCGTAACATCTGTGCTGGTGAGGCGGCTTGCTGACTATCACAACTTGAACTCAAAAGTCACGCGCTGGTTGATGTCACTGTGAACATATAGCCTCCTAGTATCATTTTGCTGTGTTTTGAATTCCTGTATTTTCTGCTCTGATGCCACTGCAACATTGTGATCCAATGAAGACACGCTTTGAAAGTTAACTTTGCTGTTGGGTGGAGGTGGGCTCGTGAATGTCTGAGGATTTAAAGAGTTCCACCCAAGTAGTTGTTTACAGCTCATGGATGTCATTTATACATCAAGCTCTATTTTAATGAAGGCACTAAACTAGGCTGAACATGCTCATTGAAAACCACCTGCAGTCTTTATTTGATTACCCGTATTTCTTTTCTTTTCTTTTTTTTTGTTTCCAAAGAAAGCGTCCACTTGCAAAGAAATCATTACAGTGTACAGTATTAGGCAGAAGTCTTGAGCCACTCCTTATTTCTTTCTACATTGACAGTAAAGTGGAAATAAGTGCAGTGATGTAGTAAAACATGCACAAATAAATAGAAATACAAAATATATGTGGCAAAACAGAATTTGGGCTACTGCCTTTTGTTCTGTTCTCTGTCAAAACGATCCCACCCTGCTTCAGTAATGTTGTGCTTTGGGCTCTGGGGAGTCCAGTCCATTACAGATAGTGTTCCATTGTGTGTTTCCTCTGTCTGGCTTTTAATCCATTAGCAATGTGTTTGGGATCATTGTCATGCTGAAAAATGAAGCCAATCAGATGCTTTCCAGATGGTACTGCATGGTGGATCAAAATCTGACGGTAGTTTTCTGTGTTCATAATTCATCAATTTTGACAAGATCCCTAACACCGCTGATACTTACTGCTGTGTCTCTTTCCTGACCTCCTCCATACATACTGATGACAGTTTGAGGCAGAAAATTCAAATTCAGCAGACTTGATTTTCTTTCTATTTATCTGCTGTAGATTGTTTTTACACCAGCTGCTTTGTCTCTCAGAGAATTTTTTTAGAAAGGCTTTGCAGATCTGAAGTGTAGATGTGTAAGCCCACCCTGTTGTTTTACACTGCATAAAATAACTGTGTCCCTGGCTTCTGGTAGACTGAGCACAGTCATGAACATGGAAACTTCAGATAATAAAGACAAGGGCAAGGATTTGAATTTAGATAAATCTAGCCAACATGCTACCCCTTACAAAACCTAGTTATCTGTGGTAAATGTATTTTTTCACTTAATGTATTTTATTTTATTTTTTCCCCTGTGTGTCGTGTCTCTTAGGAGAGAGAGAGGAGTTAACTTTAACTGCAGACCGTTTAATGGGCCGGACGCTGTCTGTGGAAATCTCTGTTGGGACAATCAGAAACCCGCAGCAGGAGGAGGCGCTACAAAAAGCCACATCCATCATAGATGAAATAGTGAAAAAGTTGCTGGACGACATGGAGGGGAGCAGGCAGAAGCTGCTGGCCCTGCACGCCGCATGTGTGACTGAAGCACCGGCCATTCCCATCGACCAGAAGTTTCAGGCCATTGTGATCGGTTGCGCTCTGGAGGACCAGAAGAACATAAAGCGGAGGCTGGAGACTCTATTGAGAAATGTTGAAAATGCTGAAAAGAACATCAAGATTATGGATCATCAAAAACTCGAGAACACAAAAGCAAACGGTAGTCAATAAGACTCATCACCAAAGCATTAAATGTGCCTTGAATGTTCGCTTTCAGAAGGCTGCTACTTGTAGCAAGAAAAGTGAGCAACAAATATCCAGTTTTACCAAATCATTGTCATTTTTACATTGATCTACTTAATATTGGTTACTTAATGTTTATACAATGTACGTGTGTGTTCACATATGCACCTAGTGCAGTAAAAGATTCTGAACAGCAATGAATTAAACAACTCTCTTTTTGTTTCATTGCCTCACTTTTAAATTTAGGTAGTTGATTTTGTAAGTGCACACACTACCTCTTTGTGTGAAATCAACACAAGATATATGGATTTTATTTTGTATTTGCACATATGAGTTTTATTTCAGATCACGTGTCAAAAAACAAAATAAACCTGTTGTCTTATGAGTGTCGGGCAGAGACTTCTTTAAATATACAGTGCAGCATGTGGCAAGTGCCTCTGTTTATTTAGAGGCATTATCCTCTACACCACGTGTCCACACACGTGGTGTAGAGGATAATCTATAGGACAAATTTTAAAATCGAGACTTACAACACTTAGTTGTTTTGTATCAAATAGAAAAACAATGTCAGCAGTGCAAAGGGCATACAATGTTTTAAGTAAGTAAAGGCTGCCTTTGTCTAGGAGCCCTACATATTATCACTTGCTCTTCCCCAGCGGATGGCATTTGAGCAAACTCATCTATTATTTGGCATAAGGATATGAAATAACATAGAATATGAGGATCATGAGGTATGAGTTTCTCGTGTCAAGGTACTAAGAGCAAGGCTAAACTTCTACACCCATGTTAGTTGTTTATTAACTTGTAAAACTGCCACGGGTACAGACAACCATCTTTTATCCAAACTGTCTGCACTTCTAAAATTACCTAACCTTATTCACTCTAACTAAATGTACCCAGTTAAAATAATAACAACATTCTGGTTAATGAAACTGTCATGAAATCATACAATGGATGCTCAAGAAATTTTTTATTTATATCAGATTGCCACTAAACACTGCCTCACAAACAAAACAACAGACACACAGTTGTGTGGCACACTCCAGGGTGTGACACAACAAAACTGCAAGTCGTGTCGTTTTTCTCAGGCTGAAAGCCAACACAAGTTGGTTTGTCTTTCTAAAGGTGTGAATCTGCTAATGAAGTCATGTGAGAAAAAGTAAAAGTAAAATTAAGACACAAAGATTACACCTGAGTGACAGCACTTAAGTATGGTTAGTTTTAACTGCTGATTCTTTAAAATTATACGCCATCTTAATGATAAAGTGCAGTGAATCAAGTCAGTCAAAAGACAAAGTAAACACAAACTAGCACAAGCTTGAGAAAAACATTACTTACAGATCTACTGTGAAGGCAATTAAAAAAAACAAAACAGCAAAAGGGTGGATTAAAATGTGTACTCTGAAGAATGTAAACATTGACAAGGCATTGTAATGATTAAACATTCACTGATATGGGAGGGGAAAAGGCCTGCATGCATTACAGTTATGCCACTTTGCTTGTCTTCAAAACAGCAGTTTACAAAAAAAAAAAAACCCCTAATGGGAAACTGAAATGTGACACAATCTTAGTACCAACGGTGTAACTGTAGAACACATTTTAAGCACCTTTTGGTATTTTCACAATAGAAAAAAATTCTGAACACAGATCTGAAATCTTTTTTTCTTTTAAGAGTAAAGCATGCATGCACATGTATTCCCAGATGACCTATGTATTATAATTCCATTAGATAGCTACAACTGAAACTACTAAGGAAATGTTCATTCAAGACAGAAGATTTAATCTAAGACTTTTCTATATTACTAAATATTTTGTTGTGCTTGGTAAACCTGTGTAACCCAATAATGAGTTCTGAAAAACAGAAGGAAAGGTGAATACATTATACATTTCACAGATAGTTGTATTGAAAACTAAGGATTAGGACTGGGAGATTGTTTCTGGGAGTACTCTCATTTAGTTAGAAAGAAATGTAATTTTCTTGCATAATCAGGCACACGTAAGCGCTTCAATAGCAAAACATCCCCTCTTGATTGCCAACTTTTTGTAACACCTTCTGAGAGCATTCGTTTACATCCCGCCCTAAACTCCACACCACAGGTACAGTACCTACTGAGCAGTGAGCTTTCATTTTTCTTTTCACTTTCTGGCCCCAATACAGCTCCTTTTTTATAGTCTGGAGAAGGTTCTTCACAATCCAGGTCAAAAAACTAATAGGAGAATTCTGTATTGTGTTTAATGTACTCTGAATATATATGTCAAAGCTATAGAAATAATAAACAAAACAATGTAAACAACTGCAATCAAAAGCATAGTATTGTATTGTAACTGACAATTGGTTGTAACTTGAGGTACTATGATTGAAATAACAGATTTTTTTTAGTGTAAATGGTGTTTTATGTCTAAAATAATTTGTTTAACAAGTGTAAGCAGACAGAAAAAGGACTATTTTTGTGTCATTGGTTATTGATATTTGGTTACATACCTATATCTATGAGAGCACATGTTTAACCACAGCTCAGAAAGAGAAAATTTGGCACATAAGATCAGTCAAAGCTATTGTGCTTCGTACAAAAATACTTCACGCAGAGATTTAACTCAGCGTTCAATCAGGACGAAGAATATAGTTTGAACCATTATCTGTTTAACAGTTAGAAAAATATGGAATAAAATAATCTGCTTATCTTTTATAATACATGCAAATGTATTGCACAGCTGAAATGTTAAACAGAATAACCACGTACAGAAGGAAAAGTCTCGATGGAGTGCAACTTTTGCTGTTACATACTTTGATGAGAGTCGGTATGTCAAGTTTCATTAAAACAAACAAACAAAAAAAAAAAAGAGTGAAAAAAAAAGAAAGAGCAAAAGCCTCGGCCATAAGGGGGAAAATCCACCTGCACCAACAGCTAGAACTTCAGTTGTTTTGGGCATCATTAAATTAATAACACAACATACTGTAGCTGCAGTTGTTTCTTAAGGCAACCATTAGGAGGATCCAAGTATGTACAAAGGTTAGGTTTTGTGCCCAGATCGCTGATGAATATTCGAGACCGCAATACACCTATCAACATGGGGCGAGGAAGATGAACATTAGGTTAATAAAGTAATATAGTGTAGTGTAGTGTTTCCCAGTCTATGTGAGCTTTGGTCACTAACTGTCGCTACCTCAACAGCTTACAATAACGAGCAATCTAATGTCAGAAATAACTGTCGGTCAGTAAAATGAAATGATTTTCTCTAGAGGAGGCTGCAGCTTCCAAAGGGATTTTTAGTCTTCTTGGTTCTTTGCTTGTTAGGACGCAAAGTGATGACTTCTCTGCCGTTGCTGGAGCTCTGGTTGCAGACATTACTACTTGTTGTATTAAAAACACCTTTGGAAAAAACCCCAGAAAGAATGAGTAAAGGCTATTTAAAAGAAACAAAAACAAAACAAAACACCAGAGCTTAAATTGTGATACGAAAAAAGATTTCTTACCTATTTTATTGCTTGTTGTGTGGACCACCTCTGTCTCCTCTGCTGTTTGCTGTTTGAGTCGCTGTAGATACTTCTCAGCTAAATACTTAAAAACTAAATGAAGACAACAAGCAGAAATGTTATGACAGTAACATTAAGAAACAAGCCATTTTACTTGCATCTGATCAGTTGTTCAGATTTTCAGTAACCTACCCTCATTCACATTTAGGTCCTCTTTCACTGAAGCGCGATAAAATCTTAGCTTAAGCCTCTTAGCCAATGCTTCTGCCTCCTCACTGCAGTACAAGTGAAGGAAATACAGCACTTCTTAATTTTCTTCTAAATTAACAGGCTTATTTTCAATAAACAGTCAGCACTCTTTTCTTTAACAGTTAATTGCTTTTCTGTACCACCGAATCCTTACTTTTTTATAACAGTCTCTTCCAGGAGGTCAATTTTGTTTTGCACAAGAACTGTGGGAATATCTCCAACTTCTGCTTCCACCTTCTCCTTCCAGCTGTCAATAGCCTGAAATGAGTCCCGGTCTGTGGTGGAGAAGACAAGCACACATGCCTGCGCACCTGCAAAGTAAGATCACATACACAAACAGTTCACGTTCTCAAGCTGTTACATCTTGTAAAAAAAAAAAAAGCATGTTGAACATGTTGCATAATTCATTGTCCAAGAGCAAAAACACAGATTGGATTTAAGAATAAGCCCTCTAGGAAATATATATGTATATATATACTAGTGCTTACACTTACACTGGTTGGAAGCCTAGAAATAGCCTAGAAATATGGGATAAGCAAACGTTATTTGTTGCAGAGGTGCAATCTTACCGCGGTAATAGGCCTTGGTGATGGCATCAAACTCCTCCTGCCCAGCAGTGTCCCAAAGCATTAATCGGACATCTTCATCATTTACACTAAAACGATGAGAAAAAAAATTGACTAGTTACATATTCATCCATCTATAATATCCTATTATATCCTACTCAGCACACTCTACTTGTTTTTCTATGTTAATAGACAATCACAAAAACTACAATTTTAAGACATTTGGAATAAAACATTTCCTTCAATAAACAAAAGTAATAATATTTAAATATATTTTTTAAATTCTTGTCAAATAACTTTCTCTTTTAATTATTATTTATAACATGGAAAAAAAATATTTTATCATGTTTTCTTCTAGGGTGGAAAATTATTTCATTTAACTCAAGAGGGCTCTTGTTCCTCCAGGAGTGTAATGACATACATGCGTACATACATACAGTACACAGTTACTAAGTAAAGTAAAATAAGTAAAAACTAGATAGGCATTCAATAGAAGAATTGAAGTAAAATAACAAAATAAAACAAAAAAAATCTGGTTAATTAACCAACATGGATGTCTTTGGACTGTCAGAGGAAACCAGAGTACCCAGAGAGAACCAACGCAGTCACAGAAAAGCCCGAGCCAGCCTGTGGATTCAAACCCAGGACCATCTTGCTGAGAGGCCACAATACTACTGCACCACTGTGCTGTGGTTAATAAAATATTAAATAATAATAATTAATGTTAATTAAATAAAAGCTAAATATAATATAACAAAGTGGCCTTTTTAAGTAAAATGTGTCAAATTTAGTAAAATTCAGTTTTTAAAAAAAGAGTAATTTCTGATTAAACCTAAAATGTGGGTACCAACAGGATTCCACATTCCAATATGTATTTAATATTGTAAAACAATTTTATACAGCTGAAGTTGTAGTTAGTTAACAGACCCTCTGTGACTTTGATTATAGACTATAACTGATAAATAATGTGGAACATCTTTCAAATGAACATCTTACAGTATCTGCCTTTCCAGGAAGTCCACTCCAATTGTCTTTTTGTAGTCTTTAGTGAAAATGCCCTTGCAGTAACGTTGGATCATACTGGACTTGCCGACAGCTCCGTTGCCGACCACGACCACTTTGATGGCCACTTCCATGTCCTCCTCCAACATGGTGATGACGTCTGGCTGATTTTCTCAGTTCCACTGTGCCTGTATTGTTTCAGAGCTGTGATGGGAGCACATGTACCGGCTGAAAGTATAAAATAAAATATTAGATACTACAAAAAAAAAAAAAACACAAAACACAAAAAAAAACACAAAAAAAAAAGCCACACAAACACTGGACAAGTGCAACTCAAATGTGGTTTATATATGAATCACTCACTTCAGAGACATTGTCAGTTGAACAAATATGATGAAAACCAACTTTGTTACTCAGTTTATAAGTTACTTATAAGTGCGGCTGACAATCAAGCAAATTAGCAGAGGCGCAACTGACTGCTACTTCTTTTTAATACTAATCAAACTTATTTTCAGTTTGATATGTCAATATACTGTTACAAATGTAGTTGTCAAAGCCTAAAAAATGTTTTACAATACATTTTTATAGCCAACAGTCACAACTCAACTTTTATAGGCTTAATAGTATAATTATCATATTCGCCAGCAACACAAGCACTTCATTGCACTCTAATACATGGTGTCACATACACAATGTCTGTAATTAGCTTTTAAACTGTTATGGGTGCACATTTTACTAACTGTTGTAAAACAAATTTTCAGCTTGACTGGAGAGGTGGTTCACTATGTTTATTGTTCCATTAGTGCAGAAAACTGCAGACTCCGCATAGCAACCGTGTCCCCACAGCTATATACTTGGAGTGGCTGAGTGCTATGCTAAACAACATATTGTGGGAAAGCTGTTCTCAGTGGACACTGACAGCCTACTGCGTGACTGTAGTGTGCAACAGCCTGCTTGAATTTGAGTCACAATATGTATCTGTAATTGAGCTGAATGACACATCAGTTGGTATAACATGAAGGCAAAACACAGCTGAAAATAGAATAGTATGCTCGTCTTTTAATGTAAACTCTGTAAACTGTAAAGTCTTGACTTTGCATTTCTCTTTAGTTGAGCAAAGACCTCCTCTTCCTTTCAAGCAGCTAGTCCTCTCCTATTCAAGTGTAGTCGGTTCGCGATTTGTACTTTAAATATGTTTTATCATCACAGAAACTGTCAAACTGGGAGGTTAAGAAGCTGGTTATGTATTGTTTATTTATAACTACTATAAGTTCAGAGCAACGTGATTCAGATTTAGATAAATGATGATGATTCGCTTTAACAGTGTTTGAAAATGAGATCTGAATAATTGTGCTCTTAGTATCAACAACAATGTGGGGCAATCTTTTTGCACTGTGGTCATGTCTTATACCCCACATTTCTGAAATGAATTACAACTCTCCTCAGGTGATCTCAATAGGTCATGTTAGGGCAAGACCTCACAGAGGTTTCATTCTGAACCCCCACTGATGGTAATGTGAGTGACCCAAGTTGGGTTTTTTTTGTTTTGTTTTTTGTTTTTACATCTTAGCTCATTTGGTGACTCACATTATCAATAAGGATCACTTCCAAAAGGGTACCCCCAGGGTAAATACTTGTGACTTTCCATCATTTGTTTTTTTAAGGGAAAACGCCTCTTGAAAGAAGTCCAGCTGCCTTCTTTTTTCAAGCTCTAAAGAAGTGACTGGAAGGTGCAGTTTAACACTTCAAGACAGGTATCAGCTACACATTTAAACACAATATTCTCCATACCTGCACAAACAACTGTCCTGAGTAAATTCTGGGCTTTCAGGTCATCATTACCATATTCATACAATACAAATGTGATAACACAGAATCTGAAATATACAGGCCTACTGCATTTTTTACATAACATGGTAGCAGGGTATGTTTTACATTGCTATGCACATAGTACTGAATTCTGCTCAGTATGAAGCAGATAATACACCCCCCTTTGCTAGACAGTGAGTCATCTTCATAGACTCACCGTTACTTGTCCAGGCCTCAAGGCGGGGCACCACAATTTTTTGAAGCAAAGACTGAATAACACAGATCAAAACGCCATGACACGCAACTAAGCTATTCAACTCTGTCGAAGACTTTTGCTATATGTAATGCGTTCATAGTCTCTGATGGGAATTAAGTTTGAAGTCAACTTCCCACTCCTCTTCTTCACTCAAATCCCTTGCCTTGGTCAAGATAAGACCTGTTGAATTGCTGAAAGGAGGCTCCCCTTGAAGTACAGAGCAGCTCCCGAGGTAGTGCGTTAAAGCTGGGTGAAATAAACGGTGAAGAAATGATGGGAAAGCATGCCAAAGAAGCGTGCAGTTTCTTACCTGTAAAACGACGCTACAACTCATCCAATGACATTAGGCGAGCTATGCAGTCAGCTAACCCACATCCACATATCTACAGCCTCCCGCCGCTCTTCTCCGTGGCAAGAGACGCAAGAGACTCCGCTGCTAAGGGTGCCTAGCTAAGATTAGCCACTTTTCACAGAAGAAAGACAACCTTCTGCTCCGTTCGCTAACGACTTCTTCCCTGTGTAATGCAAAAACGTTCTCTCCTAAACGAAAGATACCGTTTATTGACTGTCAACACCTGAGGTCACTCTCATGACATTTATAGAATGGATATGCATTGCTGCCTATTTCAGTGAGCTACGTTGCGCGTGAGAGCTAGCCAGGCAGGCTGTTGGCTAGCTCGCTAGTGTTTGTTGCTAAGCAGCAGAGCCAAAGAATGCACAAAGCAAGAGAGTCGGCGTGGACGCGCCTCTGTCCTCGGGAGTCTTGGGAACACTTGTAGTTCTCATATGTTAGCCCTAAAAGTCACGTCTGTTTAAACGCTGAATTATTGTTGATATTTTTTTTATTCACAACCATTATATATGTCTTCTACGCGTGTTTTATGTGGACGGATCACAACAACCAAGAAAAAAGCGTGTGAAAATTACTCACAACCGGATTAAAAAGTGAATTTTACTTTCAGGTATGTGAAGTAAAATGCATGTTATAAAGCAGAAACACGGAAATGTGTTAAAAGGGAGTAAATGTACTTTCCACTACAGTTTCTCCCTTTCTGAATATGTGTCATTAATGTGAAACTATCAAATAGTTTGTTAAATAACTTTAAATAACTGCAGCTTCATTTTTTTTAAAAAGGCAGAAAACACCTAACCGTCTGCTGAGAAAATTGTAGCAATGGTTGATGTTAGTTAAAAACGTACCGACGTTTGTTTTTGTATAGGTTCATTTTACTGTATGCATATGAAACTTACCAAAAATGAGCAGAATTTGGGTTAGAATTTTTGTTTTGTTTTGTTTATTGAGTTAGCCACAAAATAAACTAAAATGTCTCTATAATATAACATGACCATTTACCAATTTCTCTAAATACAAAACTTTTGTACGTCAAAACAGAATACTTTGGATTACATACAGTGGAAAAATAAATGGGAAATGTCTGATCTATTTCGACCACAAAAATCATAGGAATAAATGAAATGGAATTTAAACCTTTCCTGAAAGTGCTTTACAGAATATATTCTGTTTATTTTAAATCTAACATTCTTGTGTCAAACATGCGGTGTTTCATTCATTCCTACATACACACCCGTATATCCATATGCAGTGTCTGTGTGAAGAGAAGTTTATATGCTAAGGACAATGCCAGTAATCCTTATTTGTGGAAATTTGCTGATCTGATAGGTAAACTGTCTGTGGAGTAGTGATATTTCAGAAGAAAATCAGTTCAACCAACCTTATCAAATGGGCATTTGGGAAAGGGGTTTCTGTATGATTTTTTTAATATCTTTAAATTTTAAAGTTTAATTTCAAAGCTGTTATTAATCGTTTGAAAAACAATGATTTTCTTGATTTGAAGATAAGGTGAACCCGCGTTTTAGTGGGGCATTTGTTATGTAATACACGTGCGCTCGTGAGTTTGTGTCGGATTTGGTTCAAAAGCCAAAAAACAGAAATAGAAACATAGTGTGAAATAGCAGTGGCTTGTCTTGGCTCAAGCCAAGTTTGGGTAATAGTATTTTAAAAGAAACTGTTTGCCTGTTTTTTTCATGGAGGTCATCGTTACTTTGAGAGACGGGGCGGGCTGTCCTAAAAAGTAAAACGAGTACACACCACTTCACAACTTTCGTTCTCTTCCGGTGTCGGATGCAACGTCATATTTTTACCCGCGTTTGTTGAACAGCCCCTTTTGTTTGGCGGGACTGCGTTATTTGGAGTCTAAAAGCTTCATCTAATCGGTAATGTAACGACAGTATTATATGCTTCTTGTTGCTCCTCAACCGTGAAATAAGTTTCTCGGGCTGTTTTTGAGCTCGGTCTTTTCAATGCAGTTTAAACTCAAATCTGATACCTAGCAAACGTCAAAGTTGGATTGTTTTTCACTACCCTTAACGTCTTGCTATGGGCTCTATTGCTAACTTAAGCTAAATAGTCTCTGTTAGCGGCTACATTTAGCCTTAAATGTAGAAATTGAGTTTATGAGAACGACAGTTACTGACTGCTGAGCCAGTGTAACATAACAAAACATACACAGCTTCACACTGTCAGTTCAGTTTGTGTGCAGAGGCTGATTTTTAGATGTCAGGAACATTTCGACTCTTCATCACAGTCTCTCAGCTATGGATTGAAGAGACGATTAGTCAAGGAGAAGCTCCGTTTGCCAAGTTTTGCTTTAAGTGATACCGGGTGCCACTTATGCACTGACTGGTTAAAGGTTAATAGCAGATGCTGTGCAGAAATTCGTTTGTTCTGATTTTGTATGGCAGCATCCTTTACCGTTTGAAATCAAAGAAGCTCAATGAATTTCTTAATGTTTGTTAGTTATAAGCGTTTTAATGGTGGCTCGGGTCTTCTCCACAATAGTGTGTTTTATTTATTCAACTCCTAGTAAGGAGAAAATGGCAAAATCAAGCGTTATGCGTTTGAAATAAGAACAGCTTATTTAATTTCCATGAATTTGTATTGAATGTCGCTTTGGTCAATGGCTCACTACATCAGATATGGCAGGTTTGGGACCCAGCTTGTTAGCAAGTGGTACATTAAAACATGCTTGATTTCTTTTACCATCAGGCACTATGCAGTTTGGAGGCAGAAAAAAGAAGATTAGCACTATCCCTCAGTCGGAGCTCTATGGGCAGCACCTGCAGTTTTATGGACAGCCTCCTCTTGAAAACATCTCTCTCTCTGAATTTGAAACATTTGCTGCGGAACGACTGAAGTGTAAGATTTGTCTCATACTACTTGTGAAATCAAATGATGAAAATTACTGTAAGCATTGTTTTCTCTGCTCTTGTGTAATACATTTTATTTAGGACATGTGGTTTGTAATGTTTGTTTTAATGCCACTGTAGTGTTGAAGACTGTGGAGAACTTGGGTGTGAGCCATGTCAAGCTTACAGATCCGTATAGACGCAAACTTGAGAGTCAGCTTAAAGCTCTGAACTTTCCTTACAGACCAGATGCTGTGAGTATGTTTCCCATTGTGCACTTTTAAACAGTATTAATGAGTCAGTTATTGCATTGTGTTGTCAACAACTTCAACTAAAGCTTTATCACAAAGAGATTTCTTTTTAAACTTTTACCCGTGTGTTTTAATGAAAACACAGGGGTTGGATTTGTTTAGGGTCCTGTAATATCACACTGCACTTCATGGTGCTTGTGCCCCCCTTGTGAGTGAGACATATCTAATAAACTGGCATAGCTTTTAGTAGGGCTGAACGATTATGGAAAATAATCTAATTGCGATTTTTTTGCCCCAATATTGCGATTGCGATGCGATATGCGATTATTTTTTAAGGTCTTTGTCTTCTGTATTATTAAACAAAGACAAGCAATACATCATATAGTATGGCCAATACTATATTACATTAATTTTAAACTGTTCTTTCCTGGAAGACAGACCTCTGTTATGATGACATGAGGTGATGCATGAATTGATGACTGACATTTTTATTTAACTTCTTCAATCACAACAGTATATTTGAACATACACAATAGTTTATTTTTAGCTTACAAACATCTGAGCATAAAGTGCTGACAAGGAACCCTGGTGTAAACATTAAAATGAAAGTCAGTGCAATGTGCAGATTGCAGAAATATACATAAAAAAAATCGGTGGCTTTACCACACTCAGTTTTTCGACATCTGTGAACTACTAGACAGTCATTAAATTAAAAAATAATATTAAATAAATAAAACTAATAAATAAAAAATGCACACATCTTACTGATCTCTGCTGTCAGTAACATTACACATTTTTATATATTTTATTTATTGTTTACTCTATTTAATTTGTAAAATATGTGTACACACACACACACACACACACACACACACACACACACACACACACACACACACACACACGTGTAGAAAAATATTTAGTATACACATCCAGAAATGCATATACTATTATATATTGTACATATATTTATTAGTTTCAGATGTAGCCATTCTTGTATTTTGCTTGTTTACATTATTGTATTTTGCACAACTCTGTTGCTTGTGAAGCTCGCACACAAGAATTTCACTCACATGTGCTGTACCAATGTACCTGCACATGTGATGTGACAATAAAAGTGATTTGATTTGATTTGATTTGACATAAAGTGCAAACATAATAGCAATTGTATAAACAATGAGTATGGCTCAGCTAGCCATAATCATCCTAGCTCACAGGTTTTTTGCTAGGAAGACCAGCATATCTACTTTTGCTGGCTTTAAGGATGAGCGAGTGCAGGTCACTATATTCCCTCCAGTGCTGAACAGACGCTCTGAGGGGGCACTTGTGGCTGGCACACACAGATATTTGCGGGCCATCTTGCACAGTCGTGGAAAGTGAATGTTGTGCACCTTCCACCAGGCTAAGGGATCATCCTCTCCGTCAATGACAGGGGTCAACAGGTAACTATTCAACTCTGTCTTCACGACATCTTCAAGTGGCAGAGGCAAAGCTGAAGAGGCCGCACTGGTCCTCAGACGGTCAGGTAGGCCGGAAGTAAACGGCCATGAAATTGGACGGTCTAGCTTTCTGATTAGCGTCACCGCTGTCTCGGTGGAGCTTAATAAACTCGGCCGTCTGCTTCTTGCTATCTAAAATATAACCAGACACTGGTGTAAATTCTCGACTGTCTCATACTTCTGTTTAATAAGTTTTCTGTTTGACGTTTAGTCAGCTGTGTGAAAACCAAGGAGGAACCCACCCGGGGGATTAATAAAGTTTTATTTTATCTAATCTAATAACTTTAATCTCAGCCAAACCGATTTAATCACGAACAAACAAAACACTGAAAAAAGCCCAACAATAAAATTTTTAGGTTGTCTAAGTGACTTATATATTACGTTTAACCCGAGCAGCGAAAGTCCGCGGTGATCTGAAAATGATGTGCCGGGAGTTGTGCCGTTCTCGGCCGCATCAGTAACCCTCGAGCTCCCGGCTAGCTATCGAGCTGGTGGGTAGCAGACGCCTCCGAAAACGTCGAAGCACTTTTGCAAATATGCGATATCTTGATAAACTGAGCAGATATTTGATGTTTACACAACTACTTTCTCGCCTGAAAATATGTTAAAAGTTTATTTTGTGACCCAGAAAGATTAGTATGAGTAATTTTAAAACTTAGTAGCAGCCGCCATTGTTGGAAACTGGAGTTTGGCTGGGCCGCGCTATGAATTCTGGAATATGGTAGGCCACGAAGGACACACCCGACCCATCCTTCAAATTCGGGGAAAAGGAGGACGCATTTGTCGGCTACATTCGGAGGAGTCTACGAATTTGGACAGCCTTCGGCGCGTCGCTGTGACGTAATTGGTCTACAAATGCGGCCTCAGGAGGATGCAGCCCATGAATTTGGACATGTCCAGAGTATAATCGCAGCCTTTGCGGTTAGAAAATTGCACTTGATCATGTCGCGATATTATCGCAAATGTGATATATCGTTCAGCCCTAGCTTTTAGAGTGAGACCAGTGTTTAGCTCGATGTGTATTGACACAGTATTGACTTTGAGGAGTTAAGCTTGCGCAGGATCCATCAAATTCTCTTTGCAATAGTGATGAAATAGCATGATTTAGCAATAAAATGTATTTGTATTAGTAAAGAAGAGACACTGCTGGGTGTTGCTGAAAACGTGACTCATTTACTAACATTTTAAGACCCTATGCTGAATTACAAGAGCCTGAGATAATGGAAGTTAGTGTACAGCTACCATAAACATGACTTTTAGTACATGATAATTTTTTCATATATGTACATAAAACAAAAACTGTACAACATGACAAGAAGTGGTGAATGATGATTAAATGATTGACATCTATTTGTCTTTCAAATTAACTAATTGTTTTCTAACTCTTAAGGATGACAAGAAATCTCAAAGTGGACCAATTGAATATGAAAAACGAAGAAAAGACCATATCTCCCACTTCATTCTCAGACTGGCCTACTGCCAAACGTAAGTCTTTAGTCTCCATTTAGGAATACTGGAAAATGTGGTCAGAATATAAGTTGTTCAGCTGCAAAAGATAAATGTTTATTTCCATTTGTCTCTCAAAGGGAAGATCTGAGGCGCTGGTTTATACAACAGGAAGTTGATCTTTTCCGCTTCCATTTTACTGAGTTGGTCCCAAAACAACAACTGGCATTTCTTCACAAGAATAATCTCCATTATGACACAGTAAGCTTTCCTAAAGAAAACACTTGACATATTTCAAAAATATTTTTTTTCTGGAAATTTAAGTTGAGGAGGCTTACCACAAAAAAATTCCAACTGGGAACTTTTACAACTGGGAATTTCTGTCTTCTTGTAATAGTGACTTATTCAGAAACACACAATTAGTCTTTTTTTTTTTTATATCACCTTGAAAATTTACTTACTTATATTTGATTAACTTACATTTAAGTGCCTCTTTACCATAATGTGTTTTAGAAACTATATCTTGGATTTTGTTTCTATGTCAGGCTCAGAGTATGTTGAGGACACGGGCCTAAATCCATGCCAGTTGTTTCTATACACAGCATAGTGGTGTTCAGTTGTATTTTCACTAGGTGGAGCTGTTCAATCATCATAACATCTTCCATCTTTAAAAAGTTGGCCCTATTCAGTAAAAGATTTAATTGTGAAAAAAATTATATTTCAAATATGTGTGTATTATTTTTTTAAATAATAAATCCCAAAACATAAATATAATATATATAGTTTACACTATATATTATATAGTGTACTTAGTCTCTGTTTTGCTTTTAGGCTCACAAAAGGAAAGAACTACAGTAGGTTTGGATAACATGGTGGTGGTGGGGTGTAAGCAAGAATGCAAAGCCAACTTTAGGTTTTTGTTTTGTTTTTTTAAACAATGTTTGTTTTCCACAAGCTTATTAACATCATATTAACAGTTCAGCTTATGCAACTCCTCAATGAAATCTCACAACTTTTCAGATTAGCAGCGAGGAGAAGACTGCGCTGAAGGATCAACTTATAAACTCCAGCTTTGGCGTCAGTGGAATCAAGGTGATGGAACACGAGTTCTACAAGGTGAGACATATATATAGTGTAGGTTATAGTTTATATTCACGAACACACCACAGAGGGAATGTAACTTCCAAGACATCTAGACAGTGGCCCTGTTAGGTTGATGTGTCATGATGGCTCGAGTTCTCTTTCTGCATAGTTAAGAGTCATTCAGGAGAGTTTTTGAAGTAGCGATCATTAAAGGTAATAGCACAGTGCAGGATAATATATGGTGTAAGGTAGGTTGGTCAGACTTTGCAGAACATCTTGGATCCTGGGTTTTTGAATTCTAGTAACGTTTTCTTTTTGTCCAGTATTAGACTTGGACAAATTACCCCTCAAGCTTTCTCATTTGCATCATATCTATTGTGTAATGCTTACATGTGTGAGAGTACTTTTATACACTGGAGTAAAACTCTGATTTGTCTGCTTAGCGCTACTTTTTTTTTTTTTTTTTAATAAACCCCTCATCCCCTGGAGCCAGTATCTCATCAGATAGAGACAGATCATCACCGATATGAAATAAATGAGCAAATATTTCTCCCCGGGGCAGTTTAAACCAACATTATGGAAAAAATCCAGCTTTTCCAAATGTAGAATTACAACGCCACATGTGTTTATCTTACTCTTACTAAAGAAATGCATTGACATTATGTTGTATATTCCGATGTGCATAGTAGGCAAATCTTTTAAAGGCTGTGATTATGTTCTGTCAGTCAGGTCTCTACTCATAATGATTTAACATGCAAATGGATTAAATGCAGTTTTTCTATTAACAGAATTTAAAAGCTAGAGTTTAATTTAAATTTCCTTGCTACTGACAATCATTTTCACTGGGAGAATGTAAATCATCCCATTTGGTTTGCTGAGCTTAAATTGTATCCTTGGATCACAATTTAAGCAGCCAAATTACTAAGGACACACGGCTGGCCTTTATACTGTGAACACATTAATGATTTAATTGTTTTTTTTTTTCTTCCTCCAACTGTCATTATGTTTTAAAGGTGCCTTTTCAAGATGCCCTGGATCTTGTGCGACTGAGGAAAGTGTACCTCAAACAAGGCTATGCATACATTCCCCATCAGGATATTGTCACCATTGTTCTCAATGATTTCCGCACAAGGCTGTCTAAAGCTCTTGCAGTAAGTGAAATTTTATTTTTTTGTGTTGTTAACACAATAATGGAGGAGCACAATTGAGAATTCTCAGCATTTTGTTGCTTTTTAAGCCTAAACATAAGAGTTCAAACTTAAATCTGAGCTTTTTAAAACCTCCAAATCTGAATATGCTTTGAACTCCAGTATTGTTCAGACTACAGTACACATGTAGGCCCATTTTATTGCCTCCAGTACAATACTATCTTTAATCATCACCTTTGTGACTAGGGGTGGGTTTTGATCATCGATTTATCGATTAAAATCGATTCTGGCTTGGATAACGTGATATCGATTCATTAAAATCCTGAATCGATTTTTTTAAATATTAATTTATTTTGACCGAAACGCCAGAATCTCAGGTTAAACCTCACAAAATTTCAAGAACCACCAAACAGCTAAAACAGTAAATGAGAGCAGGTACACGGATTCTGCACAAAGATGTAAACACAAAGCTCGGAGCCTCCAACGGATCAGAATCAGTGAGATGTCGCATTTCTCACCCGACGGCACGGACACGGTCGGGGCTGAAAGCCGACAGCTCGCTGATTCTGATGTTTCGGCGTGTCTGCGCTTTGTGTTTACACCCTTTTTGCGGCGATTCTAAAGCTGTTAGTTTTATCTCTCTCCAAACAATATTGACCAAACCAGCAGCAAAAGAAGATCCAAACTAAGCTTCACAAAAACATCGTCATGAATTCCCTCTGACTTTTGCTGTTTTGCTTCCACCACGAGAAAATCACACGTCATGCACAGCTCTCTCTCTCTCTCTCTCTCTCTCGCTTTCTCTCTGTACTTCAAGAACAGTTTCCCGTCTAAAAATCTGTTTTCTGCATTATTCGCTTGCTTGTTACGCACAAGTCTACCATTTACAGCGCTGTCGGCCGCTGTTTTGTTTTTTTCCCTTTTACTTACTTCCGAAAAGAAAACCTAATTTCTGCCGTTCAATAGGCTTCTGAACAAATTTAAACTCTTTAAAATTATGCAAAATGCAAAACGCTTAGCCGTGTCTCTAATAAAACCGCTGTAACTTCAGAGGTAATGTTAATATGTTGATTAATGGTTTTCTTTCATTTTTGATGTACTGCAGAATATTTTTATAAAATCTGCTGTGATGCTTACACCTTTGATAAAGTCTTGCGAGTGTCAGCTTCCTTTTTATAGATACAAAAATATGTAAATGTACTGATCTGAATTATAATATTTCTGACTGTCTGAGGCAAAATTTGCCAGATTTAAATAGAATTGAATCGAGTCGTGGATCGAATCGATTCTAGAAATCAGTGACGATACCCAGCCCTATTTGTGACTCACTCCATCACACCTTCACTTTATATTATTTTACACTAGTGGCCATTTTCATGCCATTTGTGCATGCAGAATCCCCGATTCCATAAGGAGAATTATTAAATTGCCATTGTTGCTTTCAGTGCCCCGAGGGAAATGGTAGAAACACAGGGTTCAAATGAGGGGAATAAGTATGCACATGTGGCAGAAAATATCTGGAGGAAAGATTTGGGACATCTAGTAGGAAAGTGCTTATTGTCCCTGCAGGCATGATGGTTTTTTTTTTTTTTTTTTTTTAAAGGCTGCTGAAGGGGGTTTATGATGGGGCCGTATCACCAAGCTTTTGCATTGCTTAGAATGTCCTGAGGGACTTGAAATGCAATGTTTTGGGAACCAGAGGCCTTTTTCCCCTTTTTTTTTTTTCTCTTTTTTTAAATAAATATATAATACATGTGAGAAGACAACCCAAGCTCAGCTCCATGGTGGCGAGTAGTCCAGATGGCGAAATGAGCACAAGGAGCAGCAACTAAAGGCAGTGTCAGTTTGTGGTTTATGAATTGACATTAATCAACGTTAATTAGGCAAGAAATCTTGAAATAGATGACTTGCTGTACTGAGACACAGAAAACAATATTTTATTTCATTACAATTACCAGTATTTGTGAATTACATTTTGTGTTATAGAGTGGTAAGAGCGGTGGATACAGGAATTACACATATTTCGAGATTAGAGAAGCCACTGTTTAAAAGAATTATAGAGAAGACGTCGCTTTATTTTTGGCACAAGAAGCTGAAAATGTAGGAAGAAACTCAAAGTTGTCTGAAGTAGACCACACTCTGCTCATTAATTGGTACAGTAAGGTGGAGTAAATATTGGATCGATATGAGGGGTCAGTGTTTTATAGTTTGGCACCCTTTGCTGAAAATTGGCTCTTTTCCTGGTATAGATCCACATCGGGTGGTCAGAGTTCACTTTATTTGGACATCAAAACATCAATACCCAGGTTCTCACATCCTAATTAACCAGTAGACGATAGACATACATTTACTCTACATGACAAAATTACTCCTTTGTACGGCCACATGTTGTAACACAGCCAAAGACGACCTTTGAGTTTATCAAAAGTGCACCTGTTTAAAAAAAAACAAACACTAATCACTTTTTATTTTTATTTGTCTTCAAAGACCTTTCATGATTATTTCATTTGCTTTTTTCACATACAGTATGTTATCAGTGCCTGCAAAATATGTGTCAGCCATTACCGTGCATACCTTTCATATTGTTTTCCCCTCTGTAATTGTACATCAGTCTTCCGTGTAGTGTTTTAAACTAGAACGCTGATTTTAGCGACGGATTTTAAGTTAAACGGTAGCTTAAACAAAGGAGCGGCAGTTCTAAGAGAAAATCATTTCAATGCACACTTCAGCCTTTGTGATGTGGTTGTGTTACGTTGTCTGTCACTGTAACAGAGTAGCCACTTTCACTGTCTTCTCAGTTAATACCGTGTCCTCATGACAAAGAGTGGGCTTCTTTGAGCCACTGAGCTAAAATGCTCTCTGGCAATTTGAACTACTTATCTAAAACTCCCTTCTGTCTAAATGAATTGTTTGATAACCAGAATGATTGGATTGTGATTTCTGAGAGTAGTTTTAGATGTACCTGAGAATAAATGCAGAGCAATTTGGTGCTTTTTATTTCTCAAAAAGAAAGAAGTGTAGCATTTAGGTGTAGTAGAATCATAGTTTTCCCTGTGATTCTGAAAACCTCTCAGGTTGTAGTATAACCAGTGTCGGTAAACCCGTTTGCGTGGATGGTATAGTACAGGACGTAAATGGTAAATGGCCTGTATTTATATAGCGCTTTTCTAGTCCCTAAGGACCCCAAAGCGCTTTACATATCCAGTCATCCACCCATTCACACACACATTCACACACTGGTGATGTGTGTGTGAAGCTACATTGTAGCCACAGCCACCCTGGGGCGCACTGACAGAGGCGAGGCTGCCGGACACTGGCGCCACCGGGCCCTCTGACCACCACCAGTAGGCAACGGGTGAAGTGTCTTGCCCAAGGACACAACGACCGAGACTGTCCGAGCCGGGGCTCGAACCGGCAACCTTCCGATTACAAGGCGAACTCCCAACTCTTGAGCCACGATCGACGTCACTGCATTTGCACTATTGTTGACATACAACAGTTGTTCAGGCAGGACCAGCTTAGAAATTAGAAGAGAAAAATAAAGCTCAAATGAAAAAGTTGTTCGGTTCTGCAATTCTCCAATTTTCAGGTAATTATCCAGACCACTAACTGCTGGAATGGAATAATTCAACAAAACTAGTATTCTTGTAAGTGAGCCAGTGTGTTACTGTAATGGTTATTCTCCTTTGCTGGGGACAGCAAGGGGACATCACAGAGAACGTGTCATTAAAAAGGTATGAAACGGAAAGCTGCCTCTCCATGTGACTCCATTTATTGGTTTGTTGTTCAGTTTAACAAACAGAATACTGCATCTTAAAATGTCTTTGGTGCATGGTTCAAGGCAGACCTGGAACTGACTAAAAGTCAAGAGTCAGGATTTAGACTCAAGCTTTTTTTGCAGAGGAATGAACATGGATCTTTAGGGGTGTTTCTTGTTTTTCTTTTTTCTTTTTTAAATAAAAAAAACATAATTCAGGCCTACAGCTGCCTGTTTTTAGACTGAGACAGCATGCGAAAGCTTCAAGTCGGAGGATGTTGTAAAGAATAGCCTGACAGTTGCTGTCACATGTTTTAGGATGGTGTTAAAATGTGTTGCGTAGATGATTTGCTCAACCTGAAGTCAGAAAAACCATCTTACTGTTTTTTAAGCCAAGGTTGCGTGGAGATGCATTAACGTTATCACTCTTAATACACTAAGCTGACAAGAGGCTGCAAGGATACATTTAGTAAAGCAGGATTTTTGTAATTTGTTTTGAATGTCGTGGATTCACATAGGTGTCGCAGGATTGATCGCACAGCCAGCAATTTCCTTTTTTCTTTTTTTCGTTGGAAATTAGTAAACACTGAGCAACACATAATCAAGGTCTTTAATGATAGATACTGTGGCGAACTTAACTTTTGGTTTAAATTGTTTACACGTTTCTGATCTGTTTGGATAACGGCGCTCCAGAAAGACAGCTTTAATTACGAGATTCTGTGCGCTAGTTTAAAGTGCAAATAGTTTAAAACGAATCAGGTGCACTTAACCTGCAACTTTGGGCCGTTATAACACTTTGACCTAGACTGTTTGCCATTACTCATGTGATGCCCATCTCTCCTGCAGTTGACGGCTCGCTCGCTACCAGCAGTGCATTCTGATGAACGGCTCCAACCTCTCCTTAACCACCTCAGGTAAGAAGCAGGATGAATAACATCGCTGCTGTTTCGCCAGTGTGGCCATGAAAAAGACTTCTAGCACAATTGATCTTCTGCACCAAAGTGTCTTTGGTTGGTCTGAGTTAACCCAGACACTTTAAATAAAGTCCAGATGTTGTGGAAACTTTTTGCCCCTTAGTGCGTGTTCAGCATAATGCTTCCAGCATAAGGTTACTAGAAATATCCAACTTGTGCACTGTTTTATCTACCATGCCTGCTGCTTTTCTGGGAGAAAATATTGGATGGTAGTCGTGTTAGTTCACATGGGTAATTACAAGGTAGAGAGACAGTCGCAGTTTTAAGAACAGGGTAAGGGAATAAATGGTATAGATCTTTGAGTTCATAGAAAATATTTTGATTTTGGCTTCTTTTTATTATTTGTAGTCTTGGTTGGACAAAGCAAGACAATTGAAGACGTCATCTTAAGCTGTTATGGGTGTTTGTATAATACTTTTAAATCTGCTGAATGTATCTAAAAAAGATCATTTGAGTTTTCTACTTTAAGTTCCTGGCAAACAGTAAACACTGAATAGACTGGCCAAAAGTACTATAGCATCTACAGATGCTGTTCAGCCAGGAAAGCTATGATATGAAGCTCCTGGTGCACAGGTTTGAGGCTCTGCTGTCATTGAATCAGCAGATCGTTGACAACTACACACGTGTATAATGTATTGTTTTTCTTCTTTTAGTCATGCCTATGTGGGACAGGATTACAGCATCCAGAAGAATGTTGGGAAAATCTCCTTGGATCAGATTGATTCAGTAAGTTGCTTTAAACATCTGTTCTTGAAATTTCTTCGCATGGCAAATTCTTCAAGGTGCCTTTTTGCATAGAAGGGCCTTATTGCTGGTCTGGGGCAGTGAATACAAAAATATGTGGTGTTTAATTTCACTTAATTAATATCCTTTGTACTCCATAGATACAAAATATGTACTTATAGGAAAATATAAATTATATAAGGCATTTCTTCAGGTTTGTCATTAACAATTACCTGCTTACAGCTTTCAGGGAAGTCATTCCCATTGTGTATGAGGCAGCTCCACCAGTCTCTTAGAGAAAACCATCATCTCCGCCACGGAGGTCGGATGCAATACGGTCTCTTCCTCAAAGGTATCGGCCTGTCTTTGGAGCAGGCACTGCAGTTCTGGAAAATGGAGTTCATAAGAGGCAAAGTGGATGCAGACAAGGTAATGTTGATACATTTTAATGCTTTGTAAATGAATATTTTCTGAGTATCTTTAAAACAAGATGTCAACAGATGCCTTCTACCTGCTCTCCTGGTGAAGGGTGGTTCAGTCCATCCTATTCATAATTGGTTCATTGTCAACAAAATGTTACATAACATACAGGCATCACTCGCAGGGCTCGCAAAATCTATCTCAGCCCCCGCCCGTCGGGGTATATGATAACCCGACGGGCGGGGTTGAGATAGATTTTGGTCGCCCGACCGGAGATATCGCTAGCTCCGGGACGTTGGGCTAGCGATTTTGCGAGCCCTGACTCGGTAACCGTTCATCCACCCCAGAAATGATACGGGCTACAGTTTTTTTTTTTTTTTTTTTTACAGGCTAAATTTGATCCCATTTCAAAACATTCTTGGTTTTTTTTGTTTTTTTACAACATATGATGGTACATATGTTGCTGGAAGTTAAGTAAAATATAGTGATACAGTGATGTCTGAATTTCTCAGACTGAGGGTTTTTGGTCTGGTCTGCTCAACACTTCAGTGGGTGGGGCTGCTTTTATTGGAGATTAAGTGGTTCCATCAAAGCTTTATTGATTGAAGGAAAGTTCACTGGTGTCATTAGGTGCACTCAGTGCTTTGATGAGGCTAATGAAAACTGAAGTGGTTATGAGTTGGGTTATTATGTCTCTTGGTAGGAGACAGACACAGTAAAGACATTAAAATTGTTCTGCATGAAGAAAACGCTCACTCTTTATGTGAGTAAGAGAGAGAAGTGACAGGAGACTCCACATAATGGACCAGCTCAGATAGAACAAATAGAATTTCATGCTGTGGCGTTAAGTAGCTATGAATCTTGCTTTTTAGTCTTGCAAGGCTTTAAATATAAATTTATTAGACTATTAATTTTTTTAGATTTTTTTGACTTGACTCTAAAAGTTTGGATATGATCGTGTTGTTTGTGTTATGTTAACAGGGCCGGGGAGATTTGTTTCCCGTGTTGATTCACCATAGTTGCAGATACTTTAGGAGGTGTGATCAGAAAGTTCAGTGGGTTTATTAAAAGCACAAACTATGCTGCTATTCACTTTCAAGGCCATCCTCTTATTCACCTCTGGCTTCCAGCGATATGAACACACTTACTCGCCATGCATGCTGGATTTCCTCTCTGTGTGAAAAATAACAGCCTTTAAAGGTGGAGACTTTGTTGTTGATGTCAATAAACAAGCATATTTTCGAGCGCTTTGTGTTGTACTCACCACAGTTCAAGCCTTCCCTTTGATGCTTTATGCATCAAAGCGCACAAAGTATTTTTGGTTTGCAGCATTGCAGGACTTTGTGATCATACCTCATTTGTTAGATGGGATGTCTCTGAATTGGTCTGGCATGCGTACATCGATTCAGATAAATGTTAAAGCATTTCCTTATCATCTATCAAGAAAATAACTTCTTAATTTCTCTTGTTGTATCAAATTGCTTTTTTAGTTGCCTTTACAGTAAGCACTACAGAATGTGGGAAACCTCCTCACATGCCTCACCTTGTCTGGGCTATCTTAGACGTGAAATATGGCTGCCCTGTGGTTTTTGAGTAGGCTTTTTGTTTTAAAATGCTCCATCCACAGAATTTCTTGAGATATCACGTTTCCTAAAAGATGCACTCTAATGTTCATTAGATGTGAAAACAATCTCTCCTAAAGTTGGGATCTAAACATATCGGGTTAAGCATACCTTACTCAACCAGTTCTTTGAGTGTGTTTTGCTCTTCCACACTGAACTCACTGTTACACCTTATGACTGTTTGCTGCTCTGTTCCAACCTAATTTAAGAGCTGATTAGTCAGCAATTCTATTCACTTTAATTATATGCACCACTCAACATGCAAAATCCAAAATATTTGTCAGCTTTATTTTCTTTAAATGGGTACCTTTCATTGTCTTGAAGTCTGGAAACCTCTAAATCCTGGTGCGTTTGTTCTAGATTAAAAGATGCATTGAGAAAACGTTTGTTGTGTTAGTTGCAAAAGTACTTGCGAATGAGGTGTTTTTACCTGCTGTCATCAAATCATTTATATTTTATAAGATGTGCAGAAATACTGTGGATCTGACTAATGCTGACATCCATGCAGAGCTCACACATAAGTGGATTGCAGCTTTGAGTGCTCATCAAAAGATACAGTATTAACAGACTCCACAGTAGAGCAGGGCGATATGGCCAAAAATATTTATCACAATATATATTTGAAAATTTGCGATAACGATATAACCGACGATATAATTGATGCGAGACAAAATACAACTCCACAACATTACTAGCGCAAAAAGACAACCTTCCATTTATTTTCACTTAAACAAGAAGCTGGTTTTTATGTACATTAAAGCTTTATAAAAATGTAACAGTGCAAATGCAAATTCCTTGCTGAAAGTTTAACCAAAAGGCATTTCCAGTAGAAACGGGCTGACATATCCTGAGCATAACCATGTATAATATCCACTGAAGTTAAAAAGAGGTGCTTTGCAACATTAAACTGCAGTGTGCAGTACGCATTTTTCGGACCATAAGGTGCACGGGATTATAAGGCACATTAAGTGAAACAAAGCAGTCAGATAAATCAAACTTTATTAAACTCATTCTTCTTGCTTCCTCCACTTCTGTACCATTGATTCATTAATGTTGAATTCTCTGGCAGCTGCTCTATTCCCATGTTGCTGCAGTATATTAATGACTAACCTCGTATTGTGGATGGATTATCTCAGTTGTTCTCCTGACTGAAGTTTGGTCCGTTTACAGCATCCTGCCATGCGATTGCATTTGTCTCTAACCATGAAGAACCTTCATGTTAACTTTTATAAGTGGAAAAGTGTTAGTGTTCGTCCTCCAGCTTCACTGTTTATGTTATGCTAACATAGCTGTGTCGCTAGCGATCACGTAGCACATCATTATATACCAGCTAGCCCAACTTCAGTAACCCTACAAACGTCACTGCTGTTTAGTTTCCTGTCTTCATTTATGTTGGAAGTGATAGCAGAGCTGTACGTTTGATTTTTTTTTCAGAAATCTCTCAGTCAGAACATGCAATATCATGCTTAGGTAACTAGCGAAACTAGCGAGCTAACTTCCGCTAGCTTCCTGCTAACTTCTAACTCCGTTAAATGTAATAACTTTTGTTTTCATGGATGCCTGGAAGTTGAACTTTATAGTTACACCTGGTAAAGCAGCAATGCTGATCGTTTTATTAAAGATGAAAGACTTTAGACAGTTTTTAACTCTCAGTGATGCTGCAGTGTTCTTTTGACCTGAAGCATATGGAGTTTAGGACCCAGATTACTCCCAGATTTAAGAGCATCTTAGTCCGACAAATATGACAATAACAACGGCCGCTTGCATGTTCTGCAAAAAAATGTGCTTTGTTGTGTATCTGACGGACAAACACCAAACCAGTTCCACATCACGGAAGTTGCACCATTTTTACAAACCAATTCTGGTTCATCTGTTTCACTCAACAATCGGCCATGTGCGTATGAAAACAAAGGCACTGCGCATGCGCGTTTTACTCCCATTCTATCGCGATATTTCATTTTCCTATCGTTGCCTAACATTATACCGGTATTACCGTGAACGGTATAATATGGCCCAGCCCTACTCCACAGCAAGTGCCAAGAAGTGATTGTGCTGAGTTGAATAGACACTTGATGTAGCAGTCTGGTGTGGTTGTCCTTATGGACGGGCCTTGATCCCAGAGCCCTGTAGTCTTTGAATACTAATTTGTAGTAGTAGATCACACGGCTGGCATCCTGGTCGTGTCACCCCAGGTAGCCTGCGCTCTTTCCAGTCTGGGTCATGTTTTGCATCAGCCAGACATTTTGTCCAAGCATGTGGGATTGTCTTGAGCCCCTGTTTCTTGCTGGTGCCTCAGTTGAAAGAGTAATGAGGAAACAGATTACAGGATTCTGACCAGAATGGATACACAAAGATGCACATGGTTGTAGCTGCGTAGAAAGCAGGTGCTTTGTCATTTGTAAGGTTCAAATCTTTTTGCTGCATGGGAAAGACCAGCTTTGCAGAAGCAGGGTGTACATGGGATCAATGGGAGGCTAATGAATTTTAGCAACCCTGATGTCTAATATTAATCGAAGAGACACGAAACTGTTGTTCACTGCTGTTTATTGCATGATTGCAATCCATAAAAACCACAAAAAGTTGCATGTTTAGGACATACAATTTGATTGGAATTGTAATAGGCATATTTTTTTGGCAATATGTAGTGTTTGTATTCTGGGAACGGTTAATAGGAGTGTTATTAAAAGATGTACTCTGCCATTTCAAATATAGATATTCACTCCAAAAGATAGTTAAAGTAGGGTAATTCTGGTTGGAGAACATACAGATGCATGCATACTAAGGAGATGAAAAGTAAAAATATCACTGAATAATTTGTGGAGCACTCAGAAATAGTTTTGCACTAATGCGAACCATGATTGATGTCAGGATAGCTATTTTAGAGTTTAGTTCAGTGAGGTTTTTTTTTTCTTTCTTGAATGCAGATATTTAAATAAGGAATTTTACTTGAGCCACAAAGGCATTCCATTCACTTTTTTTAAGCTGTTAATTTACTAACCCTTTACTAACCCTAGTAAAGCAGTCTCAGTGAGAGCCCCATGGTATAGCACAGCCCTCTTTAGCACCCTGTACAGAGGTGGCTTGGGTCCCGTGTACAAGTTCTCAGAGCAAGTAGCTGTGCACAAAGCTCTGCTCTTCTTCCACAGCAGAGGCAGCAGAATCACGCTGACCAGATCACAGCTCTCTGTGATGTATGTGTTGTGTCAGGGACTGCACTTTGTGCCAGGCTGCACAAAGCTTGCTCATTAGTATGCGACAGGCACAGAGGAAAAAGATGGGAGGCAGCATTGCCAAAAGGGAGGCCCGGAGGAAGAGGCAATGTAATATTAGACTAGAGGGGGAGAGAAAATTGATGAAATCAACTTGATCTATCCATTATTCTTGCTACAGAAGTTGGCCAATTCATTTGGAGGAGTGTCTATTTGTACCACATTTGAGTGTGTTGCATTGCCTTGAGGGGGTTGGCCTGCTTTTAAACTACTTGTTTTTCAAATGTTAACTTAAGGTTAATTAACTTCCACTAACTGACACATTCTTTCATAATGTAGGTTAAACAAATGAGTCATTAGATGACATGTCATATTAACTGCTTTTGGAGATGTGTTACAAATGTGCACCTTGCTATTTTTATCTCAGTATAATTTAAAAGGAGCCCCACGCTTCTTTGTTGCTACCCCATATTAAATAAATCCTGAGATGATTTTTGTCTTTCTTTCTCTCTTTTTATTCTTTCTTTCTTTCTTAAACAACATTCAACTCATTAGTAGCATCAGGATGTAGGAATTAATTAGAATTTTTGTGTCTTTTCTCCTCTTGGACCACTATTTTAGCAGCTTGAAAAACTCAATTCCAGACCCAAATTAACAGAATATTTGCCAGTAAATCACATATGTGATGTATAATGTTTAAAAGCCAGATAGTCTGAGACTTTCCTTTATTTTTACTGCTCATGCTGAGTTTAAAAGCTACCCAGTGGCAATATTTTGGTCACAATTCTTCAAAATTTAAATTTATGGGATCTGTCGGTAAAGAATAACAGCCCATGTGTCATGGCAGTGATGTCAAATTCTGTATTGGTGAAGCTATAATAGGCACCTACTGCAAAAGTTATGACATGGGATAGCAGATATGACACAGGTGCTGCTAATAACATTGTGGCCCTGTGCTTTTAAGGCAGAACGGTCAGCCATGACACTTTTGACAGTGAGACAGCAACACCAGACTCTGAAGCTGAAGAAACCAATGCAACCCCCTCCACACACACACACACACACACACACACACACACACACACACACACACACACACACACACACACACACACAGCTTTCCTAGTTTGACATGTCAAAATAGGCTAAAATTAAAAATTCCTTAAAATTCCAACTGTCACAGTGAAGTTTTTTTTAAGTCCTCCCATTTAGTTTAAGCTGTTTCATGAGTTACAGATTTTGTGTCTCAGTGACTTTGCTGCTCTAATTTTTCAAATATTTAGTTAAATGCTAATTTTGCATGAATGACCTTTTTAAAAAGCGATCAATGTCTTCTTTTCTGCAACATCAAACTACTGAACTGCTGCTCCTGCATTTTATAGTCACTCACCTTTATGTTGTAGCTTTTTGGTGTGAAAAGGCCCGTTGTGCAGATTGAAAGGGAAATGTATTATAATGGTATTTAACATGAGAGGGATTGGAGCTATAAGCACATCAGTCACTATGGGCTGAGCCTAAGAAGCCATGCCAAGTTTACACACGCGCACACACACACTCTCACTCACTCTTAAGTAATCCCTTTTGATTGTGACCTAATTCAGGATTTTGTGAATGTGCTGTAGAGTGTGGGGGGATGTTATAGTGATGTAGTCCCATGAGCCAAGATATGCATAAGAGCAGCTTTGGCTCAACTCCATTGAACGCATCTTTTGTAAATTTGCTCAGTTTGGGGGTCAGCTGTATCGGGGTATATCCAGGATTATCTGAAGTGTAGGTTGAGGCAAAACAAAAACATAAAAAAAACACATTTAGAGGGGTTTCATTCACACGCCAGGTTGTGCTTTACCTCAGCTTTGCTGGGACAAATGACTGTTTAGTATGGTTTTTGAGGCTTTATGTCACTTTTAGCCTAGAAATGATTGTTTTTTTAAATTCCAGGTAACATCTTGAATATGCTGTAACACTTGTGGAGTTCCCGTGCTTTGTTTTAATAGAGTAAGGGAGTCTTAAATCAGGAAAGACCTCTTATATTTATTATTTGATTTATCGTACTTAAAGAAGGTTTTACAAGTTTTTAAATTGCCACTGCAGCTTGGCACATTAGTAAGTTTGCAGGGTTTTATTGCAACATTAATGTGTTATGATGGGTGCAGTCATGTTGATTGTGTTCTGCCACTGTCAGAGCGCCCTCCCTGTATTTTACAGTCGGATTTTTAAAGGCACGGTCACTGCGATGCATTTTAATGACTGCACAGAATTACTGTGCAATAAAAAGTTCACTGCAAAGATTGTGTAAAATGACCCCCATCAAAAAGTATAACCAGCTAGAAGATGATGAGAAGGATTTCAAATCAAATCAAATCACTTTTATTGTCACATCACATGTGCAGGCACACTGGCACAGCACATGCGAGTGAAATTCTTGTGTGCGAGCCCCACAAGCAACAGAGATGTGCAAACACAACAACACAAACGAGCAAAATACAAGAATGGCCAACCTGAAACTAATAAATATATGTACAATATATAATAGTGTATGCATTTCTGGATATTTTCCTACGTGTGTGTGTGTGTGTGTGTGTGTGTGTGTACACATTTTTACAAATTAAATAGTAAATAAAAAAATAAAAATAAAAATAAAAATAATAATAATAATAATAATAAAATATACAGAGTTGAATATGTGCAGAACAAGTGGCATTTATATACAGTGTGGAGTGCATAATGTTGAAGTTCTAGTAGTGAAGCTGAGGTGTCTATGAAGTGTTCAGCAGTCTGATGGCCTGATGGAAAAAGCTGTCTCTCAGTCTGCTGGTACGGGACCGGATGCTGCAGAACCTCCTTCCTGATGGAAGTAGTCTGAATATATTCAGAGGTCTGTAATACAGTTCATATGTGTCCTTGACTTTGATCTCCTACTTTTAGGGCAGATCAGGTAAAGGGTTTTCAAGATGTCAAACCAGGATTTGCATAGTTCTGCTGCCTTTAAGCCATTGAACTGTTGAATAAGATATAACAAGACCTGGCTTTATCTGAGTGTAAATTCAGTCTGACTGTACACTTGATGGTTAGTACTAATGCAAAGCTGTAGTATAAATGAAAATATTCATGTTTATGCAGGGCAAAAAACACGATCATTTTCATTGTCAAGAAATCTATCACTATTTTTTTTAAGTCTATAAAATTTAAAGAGTAGTAATTACAGTCCATGTATTCAGCATATCCATCCCATAATATCATCAATTTTCTTAATTTGCTTTCCAGTTTGGGATCATAGGGGGCCTGTCCCAGCTGTCACTGAGCGAAAGGCAGGGTACTACTCTGGGCAGGTCAAAGCTAAAACGACTGGCATGTTGAGCATGTCACCTTCAATAGGTTGAATCCAAAACGCCTGTTACACAATGAACGGCAGACATTCACACAAACAACTGCTGTACTGAAATATAAAATGCTTGCTTTACTTACAGTAAACTCATTAGAGCAGTTTAGAGGATTGAACTGCTCATCTGAGTGTGAGCTGCACATTGAGGATTACAAAAGTGCTGTGTACATTAAACTGTTCTGGGGCCTTGTTTTGTTGAATTTAAAATAGACTTCATATTGAATTGAGTCCTTCTACAGGGCAGTGGGCAAAAGTTCTGAGAAAGATGGCCATATTACAGCATCCGTGGTTCAACTATCTCGAGTGTGGTGACACCTCTACAGCAGGTTCTCTCTAATAGCTCTATATTTCATTGAGGAAAACACCCTGTCAAAACTGACATGATGTATGACAATGACTCTTTTCACCCTTACCTTGTCCCTCTTACACTCTCATCCTCACTAATGCCTTTCGCTTCCTCTCTCCTTCTCTCCCTTTCTGTAGTTTGACAAAGCATATGCCTACAGCATCCGCCACATGTTTGGCAAAGAAGGAAAGCGAACAGACTACACCCCCTACAGTTGCATGAAGGTGATTTTATCAAACCCACCCAGCCAAGGAGACCATCATGGTGAGTTGACGGCTGTTGGAAGAAGTGGTTGGTTTGGAAACAGTAACACATTTGTGTTCGCTAAATCTTTGCAAATCTGCAGTTATAGTTTAATGTGCTTTCATGCTCCTTTATTTTCTTCCAACTGTTGAAATTCTTTATTTGCATTTTTTCCCTTTAAATAAAATCCCGCCTTATCTTTGTAGGATGTCCATTCCGTCACAGCGACCCGGAGCTGCTGAAGCAGAAGCTTCAAGTGTACAAAGTGTCTCCCAGTGGAATCAATCAGGTGGGTGCCATCTGTCCACAGTCGGTTTGTCAAATGGTTGAACAGCCTTCTAGCCACAATTCCCTTCTCTGACTGGGGACAGCATGTGGGTTATGTTTCTTCTTCAGTCTCACAAAACTCAGCCAGCAATCTTATTGGATTTATAAAAACTGTCAAAGAAATAATTTAGAAACCACCAAATAGTACTCATGTTAGTAGCCAATGGCAGTTTGTCTTAAATATTGTAAATGCCCCCTGCAGAATAGAGCTTCTTTTGTTTTTATTTATATATATATATATATATATATATATATATATATTAAAAAAACACCCAGCACGCCCCTGCGGGCGGTTTATCCTTCAAGCTCGGGTCCTCTACCAGAGGCCTGGGAGCTTGAGGGTCCTGCGCAGTATCTTAGCTGTTCCCAGGACTGCGCTCTTCTGGACAGAGATCTCCGATGTTGTTCCCGGATCTGCTGGAGCCACTCGCCTAGCTTGGGAGTCACCGCACCTAGTGCTCCGATTACCACGGGGACCACCGTTACCTTCACCCTCCACATCCTCTCGAGCTCTTCTCTGAGCCCTTGGTATTTCTCCAGCTTCTCGTGTTCCTTCTTCCTGATATTGCTGTCATTCGGAACCGCTACATCGATCACTACGGCCGTCTTCTTCTGTTTGTCTACCACCACTATGTCCGGTTGGTTAGCCACCACCATTTTGTCCGTCTGTATCTGGAAGTCCACAGGGTCTTAGCTCGGTCATTCTCCACCACCCTTGGGGCATCTCCCATTTTGACCTCGGGACTTCTAGGTTATACTCGGCACAGATGTTCCTGTACACTATGCCGGCCACTTGGTTATGGCGTTCCATGTATGCCTTGCCTGCTAGCATCTTGCACCCTGCTGTTATGTGCTGGATTGTTTCTGGGGCATCTTTACACAGCCTGCACCTGGGGTCTTTCCTGGTGTGATAGACCCAGCCTCTATGGATCTTGTACTCAGAGCTTGTTCTTGTGCTGCCATGATTAGTGCCTCTGTGCTGTCTTTCAGTCCAGCTTTGTCCAGCCACTGGTAGGATTTCTGGATATCAGCCACCTCCTCTATCTGCCGGTGGTACATACCGTGCAGGGGCCTGTCCTTCCATGATGGTTCCTCGTCTCCCTCCTCTTTCTTGGGTTTCTGCTGCCTGAGGTATTCACTGAGCACTCGGTCAGTTGGGGCCATCTTCCCAATGTATTCTTGGATGTTCCTTGTCTCATCCTGGACTGTGGTGCTGACACTCACCAGTCCCGGCCCCCTTCCTTCCGCTTAGCGTACAGCCTCAGGGTGCTGGACTTGGGGTGAAACCCTCCATGCATGGTCAGGAGCTTCTTGTCTTTATGTCAGTGGCTTCTATCTCCTCCTTTGGCCAGCTTATTACCCCAGCAGGGTACCTGATCACGGGCAGGGCGTATGTGTTGATGGCCCGGATCTTGTTCTTACCATTCAGCTGACTCCTCAGGACTTGCCTGACCCTCTGCAGGTACTTGGTGGTTGCAGCCTTTCTAGCGGCCTCTTCATGGTTCCCATTCGCCTGCGGGATCCCCAGGTACTTGTAACTGTCCTCTATGTCTGCAATGTTGCCTTCTGGTAGTTCAATCCCTCAGTTCTGACTACCTTCCCTCTCTTTGTTACCATCCGACTACACTTCTCCAGTCCGAACGACATTCCAATGTCATTGCTGTATAGCCTGGTAGTGTGGATCAGTGAATCGATGTCTCGTTCACTCTTGGCATACAGCTTGATGTCATCCATGTACAGGAGGTGGCTGACAACTGCTCCGTTCCGTAGTCGGTATCCGTAGCCAGTCTTGTTAATGATCTCACTGAGGGGGTTCAGGCCTATGCAGAACAGCAGTGGGGACAGAGCATCTCCTTGGTAGATCCCGCACTTGATGGTAACTTGTGCTATGGCTTGGAGTTGGCCTCTAGTGTTGTACGCCACATCCCCATTGAGTTCCTGATGAAGGCTCTTAGGGTCCCATTGATCTTGTACAATTCTAGGCATTCCAGTATCCAGCTGTGGGGCATTGAGTCATAGGCCTTCTTGTAATCAATCCAGGCAGTGCACAGGTTGGTCAGTCTGGTCTTGCAGTCTCGGCTGATTGTTCTGTCTACCAGTAGCTGGTGTTTTGCACCTCTGGTATTCTTGCCAATTCCTTTCTGTGTCCCGCTCATGTATTGACCCATGTGCCTGTTCATCTTAGCCGATATGATGCCTGACAGGAGCTTCCATGTAGTACTGAGGCAGGTTATTGGTCGGTAGTTGGAGGGGACCGGTCCCTTCTTGGGGTCCTTGGGATCAGGACCATCCGGCCTTCAGTTAGCCATTCCGGGTGTCTTTCGTTAACTAGCAGCTGGTTCATTTGTGCTGCCAGACGCTCGTGGAGTGCAGTCAGCTTCTTCAGCCAGTAGGCGTGAACCATGTCGGGCCCTGGTGCTGTCCAACTCTTCATACTGGAGACCCTTTCTTGGATATCTGCCACTGTGATGGTTACTGGACCCTGTTCAGGAGGTCGCTGTGGTCTGCCCTCAGATCCTCTAGCCACTGAGCATTGCCGTTATGGGTTGCATCCTTCTCCCATATGCTCTTCCAGTATTGCTCCGTCTCCAGCCTTGGTGGTGCTGTTCTCTTATTGTTCCCTTGCCACTGAGAGTACACCTTTGCTGGTTCTGTGGAGAACAGCTGGTTTATTCTCCTGCCTTCTATCTCTCTGGTGTACCTCCTCAAGCGGCTGGCCAAGGCTGTGAGTCTTTGCTTGGCAGTTTCCAAGGCCTCAGGTATGGACAGCTTGCTGTATTTCTTAGGCACCTTATTTGTCGCACCTTTCTGCAACTCCGTTAGTTGGCTAACCTCCCTCCGTGCTACTTTGATCTTGCCCTCTAGCCTCCTTCTCCGTGGAGGGTACTGCCCTTGTCGCTGTTCAACTTGTAGCCAAGCATCTCACTGATCACTGCTGCCGTATTGTAGATCAGCTTGTTAGTGTCGGTAATCGTGGTTGTAGGTATTGCCCGTAGTGCTGCATTAACATCATCTAGCAGACCTTCTGAGGGTACTTCACGTAATATATATATATATATATATATATAAAAAAAATAAAAAAGAGTATTTTTTTGATTAATGTTTTGTTTCCTTTACAATATTATACATTAAAGTATAATGTTGTAAAGGAAACAAAACATTAATCAAAAAATTGTTGAAAAACAAATTACAACATTGTATAAAAATTACAATCATCAACTCAAATACTTGGTTCTAATTGAACAGAAATTTCTATGAACTTGTAAGAACTGTGTAGGACATGAATCAGTCTGTGTCAGATCCTGAATTTGAAATTTCCACTGAAGTCACGGGTAAGAGACAAGTGGAACCAAGATCTAGGCCATTTGCTTTTTGAAGTTTGCACAGACTGCTAAATTTTGCCAGTGGTAGTTCACTCTTTGCAACATAGTACGCTGTTCTAAACAGATTTTTCAGGTTTATTTTTAGTATGTTATTTGCAATTGGTGTTTGTTCTGGGAAAGATATTGCAGACTGAGCAATAATGCATTTCTTGCATTTCTCATGGGTTCTAATGGGGGTTCTGGGTTCTGTTTGTACAGTTATGTTTTTTTTTTTTATGTTGCCATAGTGACGGGTGACGCCCTCTCGCTGCGACGGTGTGTCCTTCCGGGGTCAGAGGGCGCCCTGTGTATTGTTGTTGTTGTTGCTGTGCGGTTGCCGCGCTGAGCAGTTAGCTAGCGGCAGTGTTCATCTGCAGATGTGCTCCCTGGCTAGCTCACGGGAAGCAAGACCAAACGACACCTCTGTCTCCTCCTTGTCTGAGCTCGCCACAATATTAAACATATCAAGTCCCCATAAGGAGAATCATGTGCTAACGGCTGTCTAAATGACTCGGGTAAAGTTTGTAGCATGCTTGTTGTTTTCGTCTGCTTCCACTTGTCTTTGCACTAGGATGATGTCGGCATAAATGTGCAGTCATATTCGTTGTGTTCCCACTAGTGCTGTCAGCGTTAATCTCGTTGAAATGACGTTAACGCCACAACACGGCAAATCTCCGTTAACGAGCTACCCCTGATCGCCCCGTGCGTAGGGCTAGACGGCCAACACGTTAATGAGCTAACTGCGCTAACACACTAGTTCCCACCCATGTAATTGAGCATTGCATGGCACATCCAACATACTGTCTTACTTTAGTCCATGACGCGCTTACCTTCAGGGTCATACGTCACATGAAAACCAAAATAATTCCAAACGCCAAATCTGAATGAGGGTGGGGGAGGTTCAATTTGCCATGTTGCAAAGAGAGCTTAACTTCTGTCTCGCTAGCTTGCCCTGCGCTCTTCCTTCTGACAATGCTGTCTGTGTTGAATGCTCAGTGGATCTGCGCTCGACAGTGCAGCCTAGGCGGAGTAGTCGAACGCAGATTCACTGAGCGCTCAACGCAGACAGCATCGTCAGAAGGAAAATTGATAAAATAAATTACAAATTTTGTATTGTTCGATACATATGCGTACCGAACCGAAAGCACTGTATCGAACGGTTCAATATCGATACGAGTATCGTTGCACCCCTAACACATATATATATATATATGGACTGGTCTCTGGGCTTTAATCACTTGACCCTACCTACATTATCACCTTTTTTGTCACACATCTGATCTGGACAAGCTAATGCCATGTGGTACAGCTTTGATTTGGAACAGTTTTACACAGAAAGATCAGTACAGGTAAATACAACTACATATACATATTTTGAGTTTTACTGATAATAAACAGTCTTCTAAAAATTGCTGAACCCTTTCAGCGGGGAGATGGTGTGCAGATTGCTTACAAAAAAAGGTGAAAAACTAATATACAAGTCAATAATTTATGGCAATCTGTGCAGCATTTGTAGAGGCGTTTGGGTATATATTCACACATGAGGTTTTGTGAATATAAAAGAGATTTATTTCTGAGAGACCAAAAAGGTAAAGATAACTAAGGCTGTAATAGTATCACGAAATGTCTTATGAATCTAAGACGTTGTTCTATAATCCCAGAGGAACCTTCAGAAATAAACCTCACAAAATAAAAGCCTTACCATAATAACACAGCTTGTATTGTTCCTATATTATCCATCATTTGTGTGCATTTTAGCAAATGCTCCTCATATTCCACTAAGCAAACTAAAGCTCTGATAAAAACGGCAAAGTCTGACTGAAACGGTGCGTAGCTCGACACTGATCTAACCCCAGCCTCAGTGTTTAGCATGCTGGTGGCAGTTTCATGCTGGAGGCAGCCTTCAGGAATCTGGGGAATAATGAAGGAACTAATTTCAGGCAGACTCCTCAGAAGTGTCTCTCTCCTAGTGAGTACTGATAACTTGGGATTTTTCTTTTTTCAGCAGGTCACTCACCCCGAGTATGCAGTCTCACTGCACACTACAGTGGCTTTATTACCAGAACGTTGCCGTTCTTATGTGACCCAGTAAAAAGTTGGGCTGCAGGCTGGGTGTTCACCCTCTCCCTTTTCCGCTTTGTAGAGCTTCAGAAGGCAAAAAAAAAAAAAATCCCCCAAAATTGAGATCTGTAATCATTGCCACTGGTTATTCTCCAAAGAGCTGACCCAGGGCATGAATATTTAGATTAGCCTAAATATGTATGTGATCTGTTTTTATTAGGTTTGAAGAGATTTTTTGAAGGATGTATTCACTTCTGTCATGATGATTTACTAAAAAAAAGAAATGTGTAAAGTCATTTTAAATAGAGGGCTGGGGAAGCAAAAATTGGCAACAGTATTCTCTGTAGAGTTGCTGTATCAGTATCTAAGGTGTAGAAGTTTAACCTTAATTTTTGTGAACTGTGCCTTTTGTTGCAGATCCTGGAGCTGGTTAAAGGAATGCACTACCAGCTGGCATGCCAGAAATACTTTGAGCTGACACACAATGTAAGTGGAGTCATTTGATGCAGGGAGTAAGCAGGGGTACCTGTGTCAGAGGCAGGGGTTTGGTCCTTGCATCTCATGCATGAAGGCTCAGGAGAGACCCAAAACTGTCATCCCATCCATCATTAGCAGTCTGTCACAGCCGCTTAATTTTCATAGGTTTATTATAGCATTCCAATCTATTTTGCCTCCCTGTGGATGCTTATTTAATTTAAGCTGTTTTATGTGCGTGAGTCATCATCCTGTTCAGTCAGCAAAGCTAGGACTGAAAGTGACAACACATTTTCTTGTTACTGCAGATTGTTCAGGTCATTCAGCTGGAGTTTGCACACATGGATGCACTGCATTTACACAGCTTTTGGTGTAGTGTGAATGGACAGTAGAGGTCAGTTCATTCATTCTAATGACCAGCAGGGGGCAACGCCTCTGGCTTCAGGAACAAGTCAAACTTTACATCTAATCCTACCTTAATAAACACTTTAATACTGAGTCTATCCTCTTAAGCACATCTTTACATATACTTATATTATACTAAGATTAACAGCAAGGTATGAGTCAGGATGTGGCAGCTTCATGTTTGACATTTGACTCGGTGCGTAATGAGAAGATCCAGGCCTCACATGAGGCCTAAAACCACTAGCTCACAAACCAACAGGTGATTGTGTTCAGTTTCAAAAGGAAGGCATCACTACAATTAATGCTGATAGGGGAAAATGACACATTGCACTTTTAGTAAGGTAACTATTTAGTGTTATTACAAGTTCCTATCCTTATTTAAATGGACTCAATGTATACAAATGTACACTACATGAATTTAGATAGATTTTTAAAATTCAGTCTTTCTGTCAGTGATTTATATCTCTTCACTCTACTAAAGCAGTATAAACGAAACAATGGTCTGCTGGGTTTGGGATGTGAATCCCTGTGTGTATTGCTGAGTACATTAATAGTACATCTAGTAGTACAATTCAGCATGGTCTTAATTTAAACCATAGATCCATTAGCCTGTGTTTATCATGTTACATGTCAATCTTAAATCTGTAGATTTCCAGGACTTTACATTCATATCTTCTTTTTAAAAAATAATGTCAATTATTTTTATTTCAATATACATTAGAACTCTAATTTACTCTAATTTGCTAAAGATTGACTTACTTAGTCTATTTTGTGCCTTATCTTTTTGCTGCTCATTATAGGAAGATTTTTACATATTGAAAATCTTACCACTTGAAACAGTTACTACTGGTAAAATATATCTTTGCTGTCATTATTATCCGTATAATTAAGTAGTGCAACAAAATTTGATTCACTGATATAAACTGTGCTGGTGTTGAACATCTGCTCTGATGTTCCTTTTGTGGGGAAAATTCCCAGGGCTATTTGGGTTGTTTATTGTTTTTTATTTAGAATTTGTGGGTCACTTGTTTAGTTAAAGTCATTACATGTACATTTATTTTCTCCAGGCAAACAAATAATAAAATAACAAACAGTATGTTTTGCAGTCATGTGTAAAATAAATTTATTTGCCTCACATGGCAATATACAGACTGAATGCACATTTTAAATTTTTATCATCCCAACAACTCTAAAAAAAAAAAAAAATGTTAGGAGCTGACGGACTAGCATTTAGGTCTACTACTTGCAGATACCTTAAAATACTATTAAAAGGAAGGCCGGTACTCTAGTGGTTCAATAGGTACGAATAGCCAGTGAAATATCTCCTTGGTAACTGAAGATGCTGACACGCTGTTTGGGTATTTTAAATCATTTACTTTTTCCACAATGAAATGTTTTGAAAACATCAATCAAATTACCTAATTATTTAAAAAAAAAATCACAGAAAAGGTCACAGAAAGAGAATTTGTATTCCATCCACTAATTGATTAATGGGTTTTTTACTCCTCATGAATGATTTTGACATTTTTATTTCCTGAAAGGCCATTTCATCTTTTCACTGTGCTCCGATAGAATAGTTAGCAGGTGACTTTGCGCACTAATGTGGCTGTGAAAGCCTCCTGTCCTCATTAGTAAATCGTTAGTAAATTAGTAAACCATTGCACATCCCCCTTACTGACGGAGATGCTAAATGACCGTCTTATAAAAGGTGACATTTTATTGAATCAGTCAATCATTGCCCTAGCAACCTGCCACTTTTGTGAAAACTAAACCTGCTGTTCTTACTATCTCCTGACCTTCCTTCTCCTGTGGTTTCTCTTTTTTTTTATTAACAGATTGAAGACTCATCTTTCTCACTCAATCACCCTAACCAGTACTTTCTGGAGAGCCAGAAACTTCTGGGTGGAGGCAAGGACATAAAGAGAGAGATGGATGCTCCGCAGAGGTCACAGGAAAACTCCGCCTCCAAAGGATCAACCGGAACTCAAGAGGTGGCAGCAAACACCTCCCAACATTTGGCCGAGATGACAGAAGATTTAGAATCTTTCTTTCAAGAGGCCTGATTCTCAAATGTTTAAATACACATACAAATAATTCTGTATCTCTGGACATGCTCTGAATTCTGCTGAATCTTACAAATTCCCTAAACTGTTGTATTAAGTATTAAAGTTGAAAATCTGTCTTTCAGTCTTTTAATTCCAGCATAGCAGACTTTGGGAGAAAAAGTGAAGAAAATTAAAGGAGTGCACCACAGTGCTCATGGAAAGGAAAAATAGAAAGATTATGACCAAAAATAACATTAAAAAAATCTATAATTGAAACAGTAAGCTTTTGTATTTTGTCTAAAAATGTTTTTTTTTCTATTTTCTTTATTGCAGGTTTTGATTCAACCTTTCAAAAATTCACACAGACGTTTCTTTTTTTCCGCTGTATGATATTCTTTGCTCACATGTCCGTGATCCTGCATTTATTTCTGCCTAACCATGCGTTAAAACTGCTCTCTTGGTTTGTTTTCCTTCTTTGTTTTTACTCTGGTCTGAACTCAGATGGCTTATATTCTCAGTGCACAGTATTTTGGCAGAGACATGGTTTGGGGGTTGATGACTAGAACATTTCCCAGCTGTCTCAAAAACAATGTCATTGTATTTGCTGGCAGCAGTGTGGATGAATGGTGGCAGGAGGGCGGATGAAAATAAACAATTTCCACACTTGTATTATGCTGCCTTGGAATATTGCCTCCTAGTGCACAATGCAATTTATTCAAAGCATACGTGGTCAAGAGATACTTCCTCACTTTCCTCTTGAGCCTCAGTTCAATAATTTGTTTAAAAAAAAATAAAAAGGTGGCTGTCTAAAAGTCTTAACCTTTTTGTGCTGCTGTGGAATTAGCAACACAGACTCCTCCAATCTCGGTTCTTTAGGAGGTACAGTTTTGTGCTCTTATCTCCCCTCATACTATGCACTTTACCAGACTGCTAACTTTGGATCCAATTAGAGGGACAGCAGTGTTAGTTTATGAATGTAAATGCATTTTTCAGGAGGCTGGAGGAAACATTTGGGTCATTTTGTGGAAACCTCAATCTGTAATTTAATCATAGATGAATTTAAGACAAATGTCCCTGATGATGACCAAAACATTATTTGTACCATTAATGCACATTTCTGTTTCACGACTTCCTGTGGCATATGCAAAGCATCCTGCATCAGTGTCTCTCACTTTAAACATCAGAGCGCCCGAGCTGCACATGGCTGGAATTAAATTAGGTCTTAAAATCCAAGCATGGTGCTTGACATGGAGAGGATTTATTCAGTGTAATAAGGCAACTGGATAACAGTGCACAGCCGGGCTGCTGTCAGCAAGAGACCCTTGATGTTTAATATTTGGTGGAGCATGACTACATCTGACAAAGCTGGCACTTTCTTAGACTGTGGGCAGGCACTTGACTAGGACTGTTTATCTCCTTCAAATGGATTTACAATCATTAGTCATGAACTTGCTTTCGTTGTGTGATTTCTTCTCTTCCTGTAGTCATTACATGGACCAGGGGTGTACTGTGGGGATGGTGCATTACGCAAAGGGTGAGAAACATAATCCAAGACGTAATCGCAGCATTTGTTTCAGAAGCCTCATATGGAAAGTGACGTCCATGCCTTTACTGCGGCTTTGTGAATGCACTACAATCTGGAAAATCCCCAAGTTCATCTGTTTTCCATGCACAGGCAAATAATATTGACTAACACTTAAAAAATTTAAAGAGGCACCTTGAGCTTAAACTATGAGCCAGTTACAGAAAACATAAAAAAAATACTCAATTGTTATTTGTTGGGATGTGAAAGAGCACCACAGCGAATCAAAAGGTTATTCATCAGTGATAATGATTACTTCTCTGACTCTATTGTTCGTTTCTGCTCAGCGCATGATGTATCTTTTTGTCCTAATGCAGCATAATTTTACCCAGGGGACTAAATTTGCAGCAGTGTCATTTGTTATTCAGTACGCCTCACCAGAGGCAGCTCTGGTTAATTTGGAGATTTGCGTGCACGTAGTTTATTTCTTTTTAAGGATTAGATAGCATCTAATAATGCATACTTGTACATCTCACCCTTGAGCTGTATTAAAATTAGCAAAATGTATTTGATAACTGTCTCAGTCCTTATTTCAGATCGAATAAATGATTTGCAGTCATTACGGAGTGTTAGCTTTTCAGTGGGAGGATTTGGCAATGTTTAGTTCTTTTTAAATGAGCCAGCATCCTTGTTTTTTTTCCTTCAATCTAAAAAGTTTGAGCTTTTCTAGAAAAAGCCTGTTGCAGGTTAAGTTAGTGAAATCTTGAGGTGAAGGCCTGTGATAGTCTGGAAACCTCTCCAGGGTTTACTCTGCCTAGCTCCAGTGACAGCTGGATAAGCTGGAGGTCCCCTCACTCCCAGTTAAGCAGGTGATTGATGGATGGATTTTTAGTTTGGTGAGTTTAAAGTCATGTACTTGATGCTGCTTTTTTCCCCCTCTTTCTTTATAGTGGAAAAAATATAAAAATCTGTCTTTAAAAAAATGGAATCGGAAGGTTCATCATGCACTCAGTCGCTGCTTTGACTGCGAAACCATTTCCACAAGACCATGAAATGTGAGTTAGAGCTACGAAAGAAAAACAGCTACTGAGTGAACTCTTTAAACTCAATTTAAAAGAACTAAAGATTGTTTTGTCAAAGTTGTTTTGTCAAAGTTGTCGTTCATTATGTAAAACTGAGTCAGTGAGCCGTTCTGCATGCAGTGGTGTGTAAGATGTTTGCTGAGATGTAATGTTGGTATTACTTAGTTTTACTTCAGGGCGCATTTTAGTTTTGAATGCTGAACTGACCAATACTATATTTGTTAATAAGCTTACTCGCCTGCCACTTTGTTGGGTGCACTTGCTGGGTTGGATTCCCTTTTGCCTCAGAGCTTTGTAGCATAGATTAAGAAAAGTGCTGGAAAATTGTTCAGGTCTTGTGTGACAACAACACCACGAAAGCAGCCCAAACTGTTGATTCATGTTTTCAAGCTGTTTACGTCAAATTTTGTTTCAGCAGAAATTAAGGCTTCACTGACCAAATGATGCAATATTCTATTGTCCATTTATAATGAGACTGACGCTGCACAGTTTCCTGATTTTAGCTGGTGGGAGTGGCACCTGGTGTGGTCTTCTGCTACTGTATTACATGTACTTCACGGTTTGATGTGTTGTGAGATGCTCTTGTGCATACCTTGGCGGTAATGAGTGGTTATTTGAGTTGCTGTTGCCTTCCTATTAACTTGAAGCAGTCTGGTTATTATACTCTTGCATCAGCAAGACATTTTCACCCAGAGAACTTTCACTCAGTGAATATTTTTCCATTTTTCTGAACAATCTCCATAAAGCATAGAGTGGGAATCCCAGCAGATAAGCAGTTTCTCAAAGCCCATTTGCCACCAACAACCATTCCACTTCATCTGGTCATTTGAACATGTCTAAATACCTCAATTGGCAATTTTATTTATATAGCACATTTCATCATATGAGAACTTGATGTACTTAATATGGAACAAGAAGACATTAAAAAATGCCACAGAGCAGTGAAAACAGCAAAGGGGAACAACACCTGCTAACTGTAGACATGTGTAATTGAAATTGTCTGTTTTTGAATGTACACACAGATATAATTGATCTCAGATCAGCAGGCAGCCTTTTGCAAAGAACAGGACCACAATAACTGAAAGCACTTTCAGCAGAGGGAAATCTGATTCTGGGAACAATTATAAGATCTAAATCTGATGACCTGAGAGGTCTGACTGGGTTGCAGCCAGTGAGCAAGTCAGAGATTGAGAGCTTTGTGAACTAATATAAAACATTTTAAAGGTAAGTCTAAATTGCTCTAGGAGCCAATCAAGTTCCTGAAGATGCCTACAGCTGATTTGGGGATTCCTGCAAACAGAGCGTTACAATAATTTTACCACTTGGTCTACATGGACCAATTCTCAGAGTCACTTCGAAACAGTAATTAACCTTGGATATATTTTTTAAGTGATAGAAAGCAGTTATGGTGACCTTATTGATGTGATTATCAAAACTTAGATCAATGTCCAAAATGATTGATGCCGAGGTTCCCGACTTGGATGAAACATGATAGATATGAACTTGTGTGTATGTTTGCATTAAGTTTCAACCATGTGGTTGGCTGATTAGATATGTGTCAACGAGCAGTTGACTAGGTACAGTTAGGCGCAAATATTTTTTACACATTGACACAAGTTTAGGTTGTTTTTTTTTTTTTGTTTTTTTAACCTGTTTACTGAAACGTTCTTAACATGTGCCACCCTCTATTTAATGGGACCAAAAGTAACTGGACAATTGACTCAGACTATTTCATGGGCAGGTGTGGGCAATTTCTTTGCTATGTCATTATCAGTTAAGCAGATAAAAGGCCTGGAGCTGATTTGAGGTGGGTTGCTTGCATTTGGAAGATTTTGCTGTGAACAGACAACAACTCTCCATGCAGGTGAAACAAGCCACCATTAAGTGAAAACAGAAGAAAAAAAAAAAAACATTGAGAAATTGCTAAAATATTGTGAGTGGCAAAATCTACAGATACATCCTGAGAAAGAAAGAAAGCACTGGTAAACTCGGCAAAAAGAACTGGACGTCCAGTGGAGACAACAGTGGTGGATGATCACAGAATAATTTCCATGGTGAAGAGAAACCCCTTCACAACACTCTCCAGGAGATAAGTGTATCGATCCAAGTCTCAGTAAAGTTCAGTTCTGGAAATAGTATGAAGAAGGCATGGAACAGCTCATGATCCAAAGCATACCACATCATCTGTAAAACACGGCGGAGGCCATGTGATGGCTTGGGCGTGCACGGCTGCCAGTGACACTGGCTGTTTATTGATGATGTGACACAGAACAGAAGCAGCCGAATGAACTCGGGCATACATACAGAATTACTTTACTGTCTGCTCAAATCCAGCTATATGCAGTCAAATCGATTGGGCAGTGTTTTGTAATACAGATGGACCCAAAACATACAGCTACAGAAACCCAGGAGTTTATTAAACAAAAGAAGTGGAATATTCTTGAATGGCAAAGTAGTCACCTGATCTTAACCCAGCTGAGCATTTCACTTGTCGAAGACTAAACTTCGAACAGCAAGACCCACAAACAAACA